CGCTACCTTTAGCCAAGGTGTAAGTAGTAAAGCTTCTCAAAATTCAGAAAAATCTCAAAACTCCAAAATCCCAAAAATATTTAAAATTGAAATAAATCCATCAACGCAGTTAAAGCAAAATCCATCCGCCCTCCGCAACAGTTTGTCGAGGCGGATAAATTGAAATTTACTCTAGCTCACAAAGAGCCAAATGCCTAGTCGAAAATATCACTAGGATCCATTCTCAAACAATCTCTTGCCAGTAAGGGCGTGGTACGTGTCCTCTAACCGGCAGTTTCGCCGCCAAATGGCACTGCAGGTAAACGGTTATGACCTGGGGCCCTCTGAACCGAGTGGTTTTGCCGCCAAATGGCACCACAGATAGCGGTTATGGCCAGAGCCAATACGCTCCTTAATGGCGTTAAATCCTTGAGATATGAATCAATAGGATATGATCGATAGGGCACAAAGCCCTCTGTTAGCTAAGGTGGATTCAAATTTGTCCCTTTAGACAAACATTCAACCCCGGTCTACAAGGTCCCCTTGGACGAAGCAACCCATGGTTGCCGACAAGGATCCTTCTGTCAGGTTGGGTTGACTACCTCCTCTGACTAAGTAGACCAGGGACCACGATGGCCCGGGACGACGGAATCATGGGATTTTGATCGGGTCCATCATCCATTCCCCCACCATCCGCTTTCAGTGCAAGAGGGTGCAATTTCTATTTAAATATCAAATATTCCATCTCAAATTCCAAATCCAAAAATTCAATTCTTCAATATCTAAATCCATTGCTGCTACTATATGCCAGATGCACGTATTTCTATACGTATCTGATTGACGACTAGCCTTAATCGAAAGTTCTCTCTCATGATTGAGAGGGGTAATTAACTATAGGGGCTTGCGCCTATAGGAAACCAGAACTTAGATCATAAAGTCCTCACCAAATGAGGGCGAAATCTCTGGGTAGTGTCTTATCTATAAACCCATCTGCCTTCCAAAATTTACCTCGGAACTTAGTTCGTTAAAACTCCCTCGCCGAATAAGAAGAGCGAGCGGAGGCCGGGGCCGAATTTTCGGAGCCCACACCTGTTGATTTGAATCAAAAGAGCATAAGTACTGCTTTGCACAGTTCCACAATAGGCTTTAAACATTAGGTATGTGAATTGCGTTGTTGTTGTGTAGGGTGAAGAGTTTAGTTGAGGAAAATGTCTTTCAAGATGTTAAGATTCTAAATATACTTTTCTTGAAGATTTCGTTTACAGTTCAAGCTTCATATTAATTCCCTTTCTTGCATTGATTTACATAAAAAAAAAAACTTCAACTTTTCAAAATGTTTGGATTTTTGTGTTGCAGGGCTGCTGTGAAAGATTTAACTTCAGGACTGAATATCGACAGTTCAAACATTGAAAGCCTGTACTTGCGGGCATCATGTTACCATGCCATTGGAGAATATAGAGAGGCGGTATTTTCCTTTACTCCAGTGCCTCCTCAATTAGTGATTCCTTTGTGTTATAGGATGTAGCTTTTTTGTCCTACTCTCTGTGCGCATTTGTTCAAAGTCAAGTGTTGCAATTTGACCTCACTTGTGTTATTCATCAACTATCCCAATTAGAGGCTCTGTTAAAACTATCAGTAGGTCTATAAATATTCATTGTTCAATATTTTCTTGTTATTTATTCTTCAACTACAGGAATAAGCTGGAAGCATTGGTAGTTCATGACAGGGTTTATTCTCCTCAAACAATCATTCATAAGAAACTTTGGCAAAACATCCATTTTATATTCTGAACTAATTATATCGTTTGCTAGTTTTAGCTCTTAATTTTTGTGTTTGTTCTAGTTATCTGTTAGAAATTTTTGCTTTTTATTACCATTTTTGGAAATAAATGTTTCTGGTTAGCTCAGACACTTATTAATTTTTATAATGGATATCTTATATTTTCTTGCACTTTCGTAGAGCTAGATTGTGGAAATATTTACCAACATTTTGATTTGATCAATAGATGCTATGTTTAATACTGATATTCACCTAAATTTATGGATTCTCTGCACGTTTCATTTCCCCATCTCAATGGATTAGTCTATTCCATGAATTTCAGGTCAAAGATTATGATTCAGTCTTGGATTTAGAGAATGATTCAATGGATAAGTTTGTGCTCCAGTGCTTAGCATTTTATCAGGTACTTGTTTAGGATTTAGGAGATTCTTGAGTTTTGTAATTTCTGTATTGATTTGAATAAATTTGGTATCGTCTTTAGATGCTCAGTTGCATTTAGGGAAGCTCTAGAAGTGCTTATCCACGCTTTATCTCTTTATATAGAGGCATGCTGGTTGTTTTCAAGGCTTTATCTTTAACTTCATAGTTATCTCGCTTCCTTTATGTTTTGTCTCAGCGAAATCATTAATTTTATGTAAATGGTTTTTAGTTAGTCATTTGACTCATAACTGCAGTTGAAAAATATAAATTAGGATAAGTTACTGATAGGTCCCTCATTGTTTCCATTATTTGCATTGTTTTTCTTGTTGCTCGTAACCATCCAATTAAATCTCTTATTGTTATGATAATCAGAAATTTAACTTTCTTTGTTACCCCTCTAAATGGAGAGATTAAGTTAATTTTTCAAAAACAATAAACTAAGCTTCTGCTGTATTTAGATTTCAGTGTGTAGCATTTTAGAAGGCACTTTTTTAAGTTCGGGAAGTTTGAACTCATGCTCTTCTTGTGCTTGTTTGGAAGGTCTATTGCATTTAGGGAAACTCTCAAGCTGCTATCAGGCCCTCTTCTCAAATTCCTTGAATAGATGCATGCTGGTTGTGCACAGGCTATAATTAGATTTTGCTTTTCTTATTAGTTCGTCTACTTTTTGTTCCATGATTTCATTAAATTATCATGTTGGTAAATGATTTTTTAGTTCTTCTACGAGTGTGAACTTGGCACTCAGCACTCGACATTAGGCGCTCGGCAATATTGTTGAGACATATAAATTAGGATAAATTGCAAATATGTTCTTCATATTTATTAAAATCCGCTGATTTATTTTTACAACTTTTAAATTACTCAATTAGGTCCGTCAGGTTCATGATAATCTGGAAAGGTCCTTGTGGCAATTCATCAAGTTCAAACATGACAACTATATTTTTTCCCTTCATTTTTTTTAAGGAAAATCAACAATGAGGGAAAACGCGAGGAACCTATTTGCAATTTATCTTATAAATTATGTCCCCCATGGGCAATCAATTGCAGTACTACAACAACAATATCAATCCTTTATCTCACTACATCAGGTCACAATCAATTCTAGTAGAATAATCAAAATAAAATGTTTAATATATGAACAATCTTTCTTCCTTTTTCTATAAAGATAATATTTTCATTGAGGAAAGAAAATTATTATGCTTCTACATTAGTTTTACAATGGGGTGAGTAAAATCAACATTCAATGGGAAGTTATCTTGCACTAATCATTTTGTACTTGGACTAGTCAAGAAATATATGGATCCATTTGGTTTGCTACTGCTAAAACATATTTATCTTGTACTAATCGTTTATATCTTGCCATATGATGCAGAAAGAAATTGCTCTTTACACTGCTTCAAAGGCCAGCAGTGAATTCTCTTGGTTTGATATTGATGGTGATGTCGATCCCCTCTTTAAGGTACTGATTTTAGTTGCTGTATGGATATGCATTTCCCATGATATTGATGTCTGGATTGTGAATCATCTTTTAATAGATTGATTCACTAAGGGTTACTTCCAGTAATTTTTTTTTTTTTGGTAATTGAAAAGTTGGGCATAACCTTCTCATTGATAAAAGCAAAAAATCCAAAGATTACAAAATGATTAAAAGTTATAAGTGCTCCGGAAAACAACAACATAAATAAAAAAGAATGTAAAGTAGTTCTCAAGGATTCTTGGCTATACAATTCTCCCCCATAAACTTGTTAATTTTGATCCTTTTCTTTTCATTAGCACCATTGATAAAAAAGTAAGCCAAATTGATGATGTAGAATCAAAGAATCTTCTCATCTTTATTTATGTTAGAAAAAAAAAAAAAAACATCTAACATTCCTTTCTTTCCATGAACAAAAATAGGGTAGAAGAAGGCAATCCTCAAAACCTGAAATCTTTAATTATGAAGTCCTTTCTCCAGAATTTGAAAATGGAATTCAAGGTAGCAATAGTCTATAAGCTGCCAAACAAGTTATAGAGTGTCATACAAATGTTAGATATAAACCTGAAAAAGGTACGGAAATCATCTTCCACCTTCTCAGAGCAAAGTAACACAATATGGAAAGTTGATTATTCCTTTGAAGAGAAGAGATTTCTTGGGATTTTTCTCTTGAAAAGAAACCATACAAATATTTCAATTTTGATTTCCATATCCCGAAGCAATAAGATATAGACCTCATTCATAAGAAATGATTAGAAAGAGTTGCCAAAAAATATACTGGTAAGAAAAATGAAAGCTAGAAAGGGATTACATGATCAAGATCCAGCTTGTGTTGACTGATTTAAAATGATTAAAAAAAGGAAAGTACAAATTTTCCAACCACTAAAATTCCAAAATTGAAATAAAATATCTTGAGCAGTTGAAGTGGATCAATTTATTGACTGATTCTTAATGATATGCAGTAGCACTAGAAATACCAACACTACAATTCCAAAAGAAGCTATAATTAAGAACATATCTAGTCCTTGATTTTAGTCAATTGAAAGCAAACAAGCTTAAGCATCATTACCAAGAATAAAGAAGTTATCTCAAGGGCCTTCATGCAGAAAGAACTGGCTTGCTCAAGCTACTTTGGTATATCAGGAAATTTGTCTTCAAGGAAAAGACATCATAAGGATCAAACACAGAATTGATAATAAGAAGTGCTATTTGTATTACTCTTCCTCCACCATGGAACTTGCAGCCATGCTGAACTAGTGAAAACTGGATTGGAATATTTTTGAATCTATGGCTAAGGAGTATCAAATCAAATTATATGAAGAGCATTATACTTGTTTAGTGGATCTGCTTGGGAGAGCAGGTCATGTTTATGAAGCTTATAATTTATATCTTAAATGCCATGCAAACCAAATGTAGATGCTCTTGAAACATTTCTTAGTGGATGTAAGGTCCATGGGAAGGCTGAACTAGCAAAATGAGCGACAGATATGCTCTTAGCATGGAACCGAATGAACCTGTGAATTATAAGTCAATGTCTAAGAAATGATCTTCAATGTATTTCTTGGCTGTTTTTTTTCCCCCATATTTATATTTCTCCTGCTTTTCATAAGTTTATTATATTATTTCTGTCACGACCCGGCCCGGTGAGCTCTCGTAGGCGAGGCGGGAACAGAGGTCGGACGGTAGGTCAAGTATCTAATTCCTAAATCTATCAATTCCCTAAATAAATCTCCAAAATATTTTGAAAGAGCCACTATAACAATAAAGTTTGAAATCACATAAACATATAAGCAGACATATTCTTCATCCTTACCTTTTTTCCGGAGCTCCTGCCCTACGATAAACATTGCCGACCCTTCTACTCATTTGATTTATTTAAGCTTACCTGAAAATGTTAAAAACTAACATTAAGCTAAAGCTCAGTAAGCAATACACAATTCTAAACTACAGTAAACAAGGCAACTGAACAATATGTTTCTTAGAATTTTGCGTAGAATTTTATAAAATTAATCCCGTCGAAATCCGACAACATTGAATTTTTCACTTAAAACTCGTCGCGGCGCTTTGAAAAACGTGCGAGGTCTAAAACGGCATTTTTCGGGTTTTCACAATTTCTCAATATCATTATATTTCTAAATTGATTGATGCTTCCATACCAATTTGCTCTGTTTCTCAGGTATCATTTCTTATGATTGGTTTGGAAGCCGTTACTTTATGTTTCTCTTTTTTATGGATTATTCTTTCTTATTGACAAAGTGAACTCATTTCAGGAGTATTGGTGCAAAAAATTGCACCCAAAGTATGTATGTGAAAGAGTTTTCAGGCAACCTACTTTACGAGATTCATTGAAGAAGGGTCGACTCAAGAAGCAAGAATTCCCTTTTACAAAGCAAAAAACGAACCTTCTACGGGCAGCAGATCGTATAGGACAAAAGATTCAGTATCATTGCCCAGGCTTCTTGCCCAATAAACGTCAGGTCTGTTGGTTGACCCTTTTTAATCCTTACTGGAGTTGTAATGCAGAGCGCATGTAAGTTGCAAAGCACAGAATTATCATGAAGCTAATAAAGCGCTTTGCAGTATCTATTTCCTGATAGCAATGCATTTTCATAGTAAGGTTCTTTATTTTAGTCGGAACTTCTTGTCTATAGTTCCATTGATTTTGGGTTTGGTGTTTTTCCTAAAACAATGAGCACTTGGTACCATCATGATTGGCTAGTCTCGTAATTTACTTGCAGCACTGACAACTGCCGTTTTTTCTTAATATTCCTTTGTAACTTCTGCTTCCTGCTGGTGCCACCACAGTAATGCACTATGCCAACTATCAAATGTGGTTCTTAGAGTTACTATCAAACCAAATGGCCCATGTTGCAACCATGATAGCTGCATCTTAGTTTGCTATTCACCACTTTTACTATGCTTTTAATGCATCTTTAAAACTATCAAGCCGTTTTAAAAGTTTTTTCTATTTTTATTCTTAGATACTTAAATTTTTCTTATCTTGAATTTGAAATTTTATATTGGTTTCATTATCTCATTCTAAATATGAATCTCAATTACATGAGGTAAAAATAAACTTCATAGTTTTGTTGGTCCCACTTAATTGCAGAGATGTAGTTGATCCAAAGTGTTTATCACCTTCTTGTGCTAAATATCAATCAAAGCCTTACATTTTCCCAACTTAAAGTGTTGTTAAATCATGTAATTTTTCTAGAATCAACTACAAATATGTTGGGGTTCGTGTTATTTATGCTATCGTTTGTCCTATATATCTGTTCAGGTGTGATTTAAACATCTTTTAGTTTAGATGCGTATTTATCAATGCATGCCCATATGATAGAAGTGAGTAAACATATACACAATATATATTTCTAAAACCAAGTCCAGCTGTTATTTTAACTGTTCATTACTTTAAATCTGTTATATGATATAGATAGTTGATCTAATGCTTAACTCATTATGTATGTTTGAAATAACAATTTTCTTCTCTCTCCTTTAATAATCTGCTTCTATTTCAACGGTACCTCTAAATATATTTTTCAGTATCGAATGGCTGGGCTAGCGGCAATTGAGATTGCCCAAAAGGTTGGAAAGGCATGGCGTTTGCTTAGAAGTGCTAGTAAAAGTGGAAAAAAAGCTAAGAGAAGAGAGAGGCCTACTATTCAGAGCTATAATAGAGGTGGCGTTTGTTGTAGTACTAGCAGCCTATCAGAAACATCAGCCTCGTATAGCTCGAGTGAAGATAAATTTTCTTCCAACCGTACCTTTTCTTGGAAGGATATTTATGCAATAGCTGTCAAATGGAGGCAGATCTCAGAGCCTTGTGATCCTGTTGTTTGGATCAACAAATTGAGGTAAGCATGAAGCATGATATTATAATAATGCCCTTTTTGAAATTCAGTACTTATGCTTTTTGACAATTGGTAAAATACTCAGGTTGATTAACACATTTTTCCATTGTGCTTCCATGACTACTTCTACATGTTTTAATGTTTAACATGATACTATTGCAATGGATTCCCTATTAATATTACTTTAAATCAAATACACTTGTTAGAAAAAAATGCAAGTAATCATCTAAAATGTCAATACAATTGAACCCTTTGAACATCATTTTTTAGGGACTTGTGGGTTTTGAAAATCTTCACTTTATTCTATTAATATATTCGAGTGATTTCAAGTCGATTATTTAGAAAACACATTTTATATTTGATATGATACTACATATAAATATCATCCTCTTATTTAAACTTTATGATATAATTTGAGGTTTTTCATAAGAACAAGCTCCTATGATTAAATACCCCGCTCGATAATAAGAGTGAACTTGTTTTTTAAGATTAGTCTATAGGCTCTAAATTATTTTGCTTTAGTAGCAATCGTTTAAATTGGGTGATAGAATATACTATATTAACTTTGAGTGGATGTTGGGAAAAAAGATGACTAACCCAATCTAGATAAAATGGCTTTGTTGCTCTTGGTTTTCATGAACCATTGTCTATGTTTTATGTCAACTCAACCATGAGTTGCGCTATCTGGTGGAACCTCATTGGCCTAGGGTAAAAGTGATGTGATACCACATGCAAGGAGCTTCTTAAGAAAATTAAAAAGTGAATGACAACGTAATTTCAATTAATATCTTATTGAGATAGCAAGAAAATCATTAAAGAAATCGTGTTATTAACTAGCTTAGGCGAGGAAGTATGCGTAGATTGACCAAAACTCATGGATAATCAACGATAGTAGCAACACCAAAAGCTATTAAACAACAATCCGTAATTTAATAACGAGAAGTTCACCTTGGGGATTAACCACTCAACTAAACTAGGCTTAGCGGGAGAAGATTTTCAGCACACCAAACGATGCCACGAGGAAGGTTGCAATGCCAAGGGTCTTGAGCCACGGAGAGGTTGCCGGTGGTGGAGGAAACACGGGCGGTGTGCTTTCAATAGTCCACTCGTAATCTTCGAACCGCTCGTCTATGATGTCGATGAGTGTGGGTAGGATGCGGTTCAAGTAGTTCTCCACCGTTTCGTCGAATCCAAACCCGACGTCAAAGAAGGGAGAGCGGATGGGGTGAATATATCCCTCGTCGTCGAGCACCAATCCACTGTCAACTTCCGGATCCGCCATGCATAGTTGGCGTGTAGAATTTTCAAGTAAAAGAGGGTTAGGGGAAGGTAGTGGAGACTCCTTGTCTTGAGAGAAGGAGGGAAGCGAGGGAGGAGCAAACCCGGCGGGATTTCACAGGATAGGTGGGCGGCGGGTCCAAGAGGAGGAGCTTAGGGTTTGAAATTGCAATCCTAGTTAATTCCCTAATTAAATCTGAAATAAATTTCAGAATTAATGATGTTTGGAGGGAATTAAATTAGGATTTGAATTTGATTTCAAATAGGAGTGGAGCTATAATAGGAAACAACAAGGGGGAAGCTCATGAAAGGGGGCCGGCGGTCAATAGAGAGGGAGGGATTTGAAAATTTAAAACTGAAATTAGATTTCAGTTTTAAGTGAATTAGGAGGGAAAATTGATGTGAGTTAATTCCTAATTCAAGAGAAATCAATGCCTTAATGGAGCATTAATGGGGCTCCACCCAAGCATGGGGCCGGCGGCTTCTAGAAGGGGGATTTGGTGTTGGTGTAAGTGGGTGGCTTCCAAAATTGCATGCATGATGTTTGAAAGGGGTTAAAACAAAATCCATTTGAAATTGAAATTCGTCATGAAAACGAATTCAAAAACTTTCCTAATTTGGAAATTCTAAAATAGGAAAAATTTTGAAATTCAAATTTTGAATTTTCAAAATCTGAATTTGAGGGCACGGGGGATTAAACCGATGTTTGAAATGTCACCACCGGATGGTGGTGGTGGAGGGAGGCCGGCGGCTATGGGAAGTGGGAGGCCGGCGGGTCAGGGAGGAGGAGGGGAATCGGATGCGGGATATAGACCACGAGCCACGTACTCTTCCAATGACTGGTGGGTGTTGCGTTTCGCCCTCACCTTGGGCTTTCACTCTCCTCTCTAACTCTCCACAATGAGAAAAAGAAGAAGACAAGGGAAATCAAAACAAATTTTCATAATCTTCATTAGCCTCATACAATGATACATGACCCCTATATATAGGTCATGAGATACAAGAAAATAAAAGCATAAATAATGACTAAATCGCCCTCGGGGCCCCAACATGACTCACTCACACACAAGGGTAAAACAGGAATACTGAAAACTGAAAATGCATGAATAACTAAAAATATAAGCTCTGAATCGTGGCCATCGATCGGCGATGCTTCCGGCGATACACGTGTCTGAACCGTTGATCGATGACCTCATCCAAAAGCTTATTGAAGGGGTCAATTTTAAGCTAACCTTGGTAACAGAGGGTCTCGTGCCCTCTTCAGGCATGCCTTATGACTACGACTCATAAATTTAGTCGCTGGGGAACACCCAAGCTTAGGTTGTAATTATAATGCCTCATACTGTGATTAGTCTAATAACAAATCGCGATGGAGGAAGACAATATCTTAGTGTCTCTAAGAACATGAGAAAGAGTTGTTGCAAGATTGAGATCGTAGATTTTGCCATCATCTGATATTGCACATGTTGAAGAGATAGATGAAGTCCAGAGATAATCAATTTTTGCTTTGTAGTTCATTAAATATGACTACGGAAGCAATAGAAGGTTTGAAACTATTGAGCATCCATGTGCAATAGATACTTTCCGCTAGGTGAACTTGACACTATCCTGAACTAGAGATGTGTAAAGATGAGATTGTCATGTGAACTAGCAAGAAAATGCACAAAAGATGATTGATACCATTGAATATGATTGTTGTACCGATGGTGGGTGGTTTAGGATCATTTAGTGGACTGATAGTTCATGACATCATCTTTGATAAAGTTGGATAAATGAGAAAGAAATCAAATATTTTCGAAGGATTTTGACCTGAGTGGTAGGTGAGGGACAATGTGAGAAACAGATGCCTATGGTAGCATCTATGGGCATGATGAAAAATAAATATAGGGTTCCATACAAACCTAAGGCAATCATCATAGGAAAACAAGCACGTGAGAGGCAAGCGTAGCACAAGAGCGTTCTAGGCAGCCTGCATGGGAGACCAGCTATTTTTATTCTGTTATCTATGGCTCCATTAGCTTGCTTTTCTGAAAGATCCATTTTTTTAAGAACGGTTGGGAAAGGGGGTTGGTATTTAATATTTTCTGAAAGATACATTTGTTTAATTATTAAACCTTAATAATTCTGTCTTTTTTTTTCACAATCTCACATGAAATTGTTTGTTAATTGAATCTACTGATATATTTATCTATACAATTTGTTTTTTTTTAAACAAACTTGATTGCAGTGAAGAGGCTGATTCTGGAGTTGGTTATCAGATTCCAATTCTTCTTGGCCAAGCAAAAGTTGTCCGCTATTTTCCAATGAATCTGAGGTGTAATAATGAATCTTCTTAAATGCTAAAAGGCTTCTTGAGAGCTGATTCATAATCTTTCCAATTCTGCAGGACCCTGAATGTTGTGAAGTCTATCATAAGGAAGTTGAAGTACGTGCATGTTGATGATAAAGTTTTTAATATCTCTGAAGCTGAAACACTGAAAAAGGCAAGACGTTTTTACAGTTTATGGTTTAGGTGTTTAACTTATATGCCATTTACAGAAAAAACAGAAACTCTTAGTCTGCAACAGCTTTATTTTGATGCTTAACTTGTATTACCTTGTTTTTATTTAGCCGTGGATTTGAAGTAGCACCTAATGGAAGTGGGACTTGGGGATTGTTTGGTTGGCTGAAGTCAGTTATTTGATGTTCTATTAACAAATGCCAACCATTTTGTTCAATTGTATCATTAAATAATTATAAATGACATCTATTTTGACGGCATTTGGATGCCAGTCAAATCTATCGACTTCTACATGCCTGGCTATCTCTGACTAATAATATAAATAACAAAAAGAATGATCATAATCATGATTATGATAGGAAATACTTGTATGCACAAGTAAACCTAACCCCAAATCAAGTATCTAAACAAAGGCAACTGCTGTCCACAGCCCAAAACAGTGAGAAATCTGAGAGAAAATTGAGAGAGATCCGTAGGAATTCAAAGCAAACACTTATATTCCACTAATATATGAAAAGCACTTGCAAGATACAATTTTCCTTCAATTCGAGAGGAAGGAAAAACTCTCCACTATCTCCGGCAACGCCAAGAGCCAAGAACAAACTCTAGATCTCAAATAAAATTCAAATTCAAGATGAGAGCCAAACTCTCACCATAACTCTTAATTAAAGACAAAGGAAAATTACAAAATACCTAAAATAGCCCTTCATTCAAAAATTTTCCTCTCAAAATCGATTTAACCCCAAGTGGGGCCCACAGGGGCTTCCGTCCCTCTTGTTTTTTCCGCCCAGCCAGGTCCAGCCAGCTCCTCCTGGGCCGGCCTAACAGTACTCCCCTCCCAAAAACTCACCTTGTCCTCAAGGTGAAAGTCAGGGAACTGTTGCTTCACAATTTCATATGGCTCCCAGGTGACTTCGTATTCAGGAAGATCCTTCCATTTAATCAACACCTCCTTTTTTCCCTTTTTATTAACCCTCACCCCTTCCAGCTCCATGGGTTCCATCACCACCTCCAAATCCTCTGTCAAAGATGCTGGTAGTTCAACACTAGCTACCTGTTTCCCTAGCGCTCTCCTTAGCTGTGATACATGGAACACCAGGTGTGTAGTAGCGGAGGAGAGTAACTTCAGACGATACGCCACTGCTCCAATCTTCCCCAAGACTTCATAGGGACCAAAATACCTCGGTGCCAGCTTTTCATTTCTTCTGTTAGCTACTGATTTCTGCCTGTAGGGTCTTAGCTTCAAGAACACCTTCTCCCCCACTTCATATTGTATGTCTCTCCTGTGTGTATCGGCTTGCTTCTTCATAATTTGTTGTGCTCTTCCTAGATTTTTCTTTAACTCCTCCAACACCTGGTCTCTTTCCTCTAGATACTGCTCAACTGAAAAGATCGGCGTGTTTCCCCTTCCATAATGCACTAAATGTGGGGGGTCTCTTCTATAGAGTACCTTGAAAGGGGTCATTTGAGATGCAAAATAATACGAAGTATTATACCAATACTCTGCCCATGGTAACCATTTCGCCCACTTACGTGGTGTTTCCGAAGCAAAACACCTCAAATAGGTCTCCAAACTCCGATTTACCACCTATGTCTGTCTGTCTATCTGTGGATGATAGGCGGTACTCCTCTTGAGAACAGTGCCCTGCATTCTGAAGAGTTTCTTCCAAAACTAACTAAGGAACGCTTTGTCTCTATCTGACACAATTGAACCAGGGAATTTTTGTAATCTCACCACCTCTCTAATAAATGATGCTGCCACTGAGACCGCGGTGTACGGGTGTCACAGAAGGACGAAATGTGCATACTTACTGAGGCGGTCCACCACTACCAAAATGACTGTGAATCCCTTTGAGCGAGGTAGGCCATCAATGAAATCCATGGATACTTCCTCCCAAACTCTGTTTGGAAGTTCCAAGGGTTGGAGTAGCCCTCCTGGTGCCATTGCCATGTATTTATTTCTTTGGCACACCTCACACCTTGCCACCAGCTCATCCACATCTTTATGCATACCCTTCCAATAGAGCTCCGCTGCTAGCCTCCTATACGTCTTCTGAACTCCTGAATGGCCTCCAACTGCACTGCCATGAAACTCCTGCAACAAGTGGGGGATATGTATGAAAGTTCGTGGCATCACAAACCTTCCTTGATATAATAGTCTCTCTCCCTCAATACAGTAACCCGGATGGCTACTCTTGTCTTTCTTCAGGTCTTCCTGATCTTTCTCAACTCTTTATCCCACTGGCTTTTTTCCTTGATGGCCCCCCAGTCAACCATCATGGGTACTGAAACTGTCAACTCCTGAAACTCCCCCCACACACCTGGATAAGGCGTCAGCCATCTTGTTTTCCACCCCTGGTCGATACTGAATCTCAAAATCTTAGCCCAATAGTTTTGACAGCCACCTCTGGTGTTCCTCAGTCACCACCCTTTGCTCCAGCAAGTATTTCAGGCTCCGCTGATCCGTACGAACAATGAAATGTCTACCCAACAGGTAAGGGCGCCACTTCTAAATGGCTAAGACGATGGACATCAGTTCTCTCTCGTACACTGACTTCAATTGCGCCCTGGTCGATAGCACATGGCTGAAATAAGCTATAGGCCTATGTTCTGCATCAACACTGCTCCCAATCCGTATCCTGAAGCATCATTCTCCACCACGAATACCTGGCTAAAATCTGGGAGAGCTGCACTGGGACGGTCGTCATGGCCGTCTTCAATAGTTCAAAAGCCTGTTTCGCCGCCTCTCCCCACAGAAAATTATCCTTCTTCAGCTGCTCCGTCAACGGCCAAGTGATGGAACTGTACCCCTTTACAAACCTCCGGTAGTATCCCGTCAGTCCCAAGAAACCCCTTAACCCCCTGATGCTCTTGGGCATGGGCCATTTCTGCATTGCTTCACCCTTTGACTGGTTGGCTGCCACTCCCTCTTGAGACACTACATATCCCAAATATTCTACACTAGACTAGGCAAAGTTGCACTTCTTTAAGTTAGCTTTCAACTGGTGTGTCTGTAGAATCCTCAAAACCTCATTCAGATGCTTCAAATATTCCTCCTCGGTTTGGCTGTACACCAAAATGTCATCAAAGAAGACTAGCACAAACTTCCTCAGGTGCTGCATGAACTGTACATTCATATTAGGCCTTCAAGGCCTTTAACAAAAGAATTCACTAACAAAGGCATGAAGCCTACGAAACCCGATCCCCTATCGGCAAGCTGATAGGGTCGACAAGGTTTAGTCAATGAATGACCCCACACCCCAATGATGGCCGTGTTGAATAGAAAATCTCAACTTGAGGGGTTCACAAATGTTTTCAAATGCCACTCAAATACCTACAAAATTCAATGCTCCCAAGAGTCAAAAACTCCAAAAATGCCACTCAAAATCCTAAAATTCCAAGATATTTAAAATTGAAATCAAACCATCAATCACTCAAAGCAAAATCCATCCACCATCCGCAACAGTTTGCCGAGGTGGACAAATATAAAAATTACTTCATCTCACAAAGAGCCAAATGCCTAGTTGAAATATCACTAGGATCCATTCTCAAAACAGTCTCCTGCTAGTAAGGACGTGGTACGTGTCCTCTGACCGGTGGTTTGCCTCCAAATGGCACCGCAGGATAAACGGTTATGACCCAGGGCCCTCTGAACCTAGTGGTTTTGCCGCCAAATGGCACCACGAAATATCGGTTATGGCCAGCATTGTTACGTTCCTTATTGACATCAAAACCTTGAGATATGAATCAATAGGATATGATCGATAGGGTACAAAGCCCTCTGTTAGCTAAGGTGGATTCAAATTTGTCCCCTTAGGCAAATATCCAACCCAGGTCTACAAGGTCCCCTTGGACGAAGCAACCCATGGCTGCCGACAAGGATCCTTCTGTCAGGTTGGGTCGACTACCTCCTCTGACTAAGTAGACCAGGGACCACGATGGCCCGGGACGACCGAACCATGGGATCTTGATCGGGTCTATCATCCATTCCCCCACCATTCGTTTTAAGTGCAAGATGGTGCAATCTTCAATTTTAAATATCGAATTTCCCAAATTCCCAAACTTCCAACATTTTCAAATTCCAATGTTCATGCTGCTACTATATGCTAGATAGCACATATTTATACGTATCTGATCAACGACTAGCCTGAATCGAATGTTCTCTCTCGTGATCGGGAGGGATAATTAACTATAGGGGCTTGCGCCTATAGAAAATCAGAACTCAGATCATAAAGTCCTCGCAAAATGAGGGCGAAATCTCTGGGTAGTGTCTTATCTACGAACCCATCTGCCTTCCAAAATTTACCTCGGAACTTATTCCGTTAAAACTCCCCTCGCTTAAAGCAAAAAGCAAATCATGTGCGCGGCGGGGAGGCAGGGGCCGAATTTTCGGAGCCCACAGATTTCTGGGGCCGAATTTTTGGAGCCCACATGAACACCCTGTTCATCAAGGACTGAAAGGTAGCAGGGGCGTTAGTGAGCCCAAATGGCATCACCAAGAACTCATAGTTCCCGTCGTGTGTTCTGAACACCGTCTTCTGAATGCCCCCTTCCTTCGTTCTGATTTGGTGGTAGCCCGACTTCTGATCCATCTTAGAAAACACAACTGCTCCATGCAGCTCATCTAATAACTCATCGATCACTGGAATGGGGAATTTGTCCGGTACCGTCTACTTGTTCAGGGCCCTGTAATCCACGCAAAACCTCCAGCTCCCATCCTTCTTTTTGACGAGTAAGACTGGACTAGAGAACGGACTCACACTAGGCCTGACGATCCCTGCTTCCAACATCTCCTTAATCAGCTTCTCATTTTCATCTTTTTGAATCTGGGGGTAGCGGTATGGTCGAACACTGATCGGTGACACTCCCTCTTTCAGAAGGATGGTGTGCTCCTTCTCTCTAGGTGGCGGCAATCCCTGGGGTGGCTGGAACACCTCCCTGTTTTGCTATATGAGCTGTTGCTCCACCTGTGGAATGACTCCTTCCCCCACACTGACCCTCTCCAAACGTTGCAGCTCCACCAAAAATCCCCCTCCCACCTTCTGTATGGATCTTATCATGGATTTGACAGATATGACTGTCCTTGACAGCCCTGCATCCCCCTGGATCACCTTCCTCTGCCCTTCTATCATCAGTTTCATCTTCAGAGCACCCCAGCTGACCCTGGTCTCCCCAAAAGTCTGTAGCCATTTCTTTCCCAGGATGAAGAACTGGATAGAAGTTCATGGGCCAAAAAACACTAAGGAAAACAAGTGAAAAAAATTGTTACGAAAGATAATTCTTTCTAACATAGTTTAATAGAAAAATAGATATGAAAATAAGAAAATAACTTCTAGTGTTAATGCTAGATGACTAAAATGGAGAAATGTTTAGAGAGTTTTTAAGTGGTAAGAGGAATTGTGAAGGTTTAAAGGTAGATTTATATAACCATAATTAGATTCACGATCATGCATGGATTGATATTAATGTTGAGCGTAGTTGAAATAAAAATATTAAGATGAATGTGAGAGAAAACTAAGATTGATAGCTTATTAAAAGATTATATTAGGGAAAATTTGGAATGACATTTAGTAAAGATAAGGTGACTAAAAGTAAACTTAGGCGGTTTTGACATGTACATCGAAAAGATAGAAAATGCATCCTGCTAGGTGAGTTGATAACATTAGTATTCAATGATTTTAAAGAAAAGGGTTAGACTTTGGGTTACATGGATAAAGTTGTTCAAAATTATTTGTGAATAATAGGTTTAACACATTTGACAACACTTAATAGAAACAACTGAAAAATGAGGATTCATAATGCCGACCCCAAATAGTTGGGATAAGTTTGGTGTTGATGATGACGATGATGAGACTTTAGAACTCATGTGCACTCAACTGTAGTGAAGGGAGGAGGATTCATTTAGCCAACCATTATGTTTACTTGAAATACTTGAATCTATATGACTTCTTTTAATGACAATTGACTAGCTTTTCACTCATTTGTAATGTGAAAACCACATTTACTTATTCCTAAGCTTGATATTTGTCTTTTTACTTCCTTTAATGCTTTAACCCTATTTTTCATATCCTAGAAGTAGTCGTTTTAGTAATCTTTTCTTGGCTTGAACTCTTTATATATTCATGTTTGATACACTCACTTTTACCTATGGCTTCATTATTTTTTAGATAGTGGACACAATTGTTTTCCTAAGTTGATATTTTTGGGGTTTTGCTCAAAATATGTAGCAAACCTTTATTTAAATACCTTAATATGGATCTTTATTTTATTTTTTGTCCTATTATTTGCATTGTATTAGAAGAAAGATTTTTGTTGGTCATTTAATTCCTATGCTTCTTGATTATGGGTTTACTTGTACTTTCAAGCCATTGAGTGTAAAGATATGTCATTCACAGATAGCACATGTTGAATCCTGTTCGGAACTTTATGGAATTATTGGCAAGAATTTCTGGGTTACTACTAAGTGCGACAGTACAGCTTTTGAGGGGTAATCCTGCCTATTTAATTAAAATTGTTTGCCTTCATCATGTGCTCTTATGATTCAATCACCAACTTAAGTTTCCTTGGCTACAATAATTACTCATTACACATGCTCAAGTGTAAAATTCTTTCAGCTTTATGCTATACTATACTCTTTTTTTTTTTTTCCAGGAAGCAACTTGAAGGGACACGGATTAGCATTCGCAGGATGTATTTCCTTGAGAAACTTTCCTGTTGTTGCAAAATAGTTGCACACATTTTTCTGATTTATAACTTTAGTTGATGTGCAGGGGAAAATTGGGATTTGATTTTGCAATTCAAACACCTTCGTCTTCTTCTAGATGGGAAGATTATAATAGAGAAATGGAAGCAGCATGGGAGGTATATTGTCTCTGTTGATTGAATGAAGTAGATTTTATGTTGGAAATTCCTAGCTGTTTTTAGCTCACGGCTAAATAGAAGTTTTATGGCAAATCATCTATAGTACTATGGAAGTAAAGAAAAAAAAACATTCTCTCATTACTTTGATCTAAGAATAGCATCTTTAGATATAGTTTGCTAATTTAGGAATTATAGTCAACTTCATATTCTGAGTAGTTGACTTTGAACGATCGTTGGCTATTAGATTGATCGATGTATAATCTCAAAACTCAAAAGTCCATCTTTCCCAAAAAGTGGAATATAGTGTAGACGGATGGAAGAAAGGTGGGATTCCCACCGTCAATACATGGGGAGAACCATCGGCGGGAGAGAAAATTGGGATGGATATGATGGGTTTTGCTAGTCTGGGCGGTGAGCCTGGTTCCCACTATCCAGCGGCGTAACATATTTTTGAAGCCATTTAAAGATTTAATTGTTATATAAATAAATATAATGATTTAGGTGATACATAAGAATTTTACGGTATATCCCTTTTCCTTTGCGAGATGATTCAGTTGTTCATGCTGGTGCTGGGGCTGACTAGGATATTGTCTGCATTTTAAATTATCATATTTATCTTTTATTTTATTTCTAAATAATGTTTTTTTTTTTTCCTCACAAGATTGTTATGTTTTACTCTTAACAAAATCTTAAATATCTGAACACAGGACCTATGCACTGCATGCTGCGATGAGCTCTATGGCTCAAGTGATCCGAGTTTGCTTGAGAATGTAAATGATGCAATCCTAAGAATGACATACTACTGGTAAAAAATAGTAAAATATTATGATTTTATAAATAGCAGTAAAACAAATATCATAGAAAAATTGACACGCGTCAATTTCATAAGATCTCAGGATCTCCTAACCTTCTCTTCTTTATTGATCAAATTAAACCTGTAGGTTTAACTTTATGCCGCTGGCGCGAGGGTCTGCTGTTGTTGGATTAACAGTTATGTTAGGGTTATTCCTTGCAACCAACATGGATGTAACGGCTAGTATCCCACCCGGTGTCCAGGTGGACTGGGAAGCCCTCTTATCCCCCAACTCCCAGTTATTTATCAACACTATAAAAACATGGCTATATCCATCCCTCAGATATAACGTCGCTTGGAAAGACTATCCAGATGTAACTTCAACGTTCTCAACCACTGGATCAGTAGTTGCTGCCTTGAGTAATTATTTTTTATCGTAATTATTCTCTTTGGTCTTAAGGTAAGTCAAACCATCTTGAAACTCAAATTTGTCTTTGTGATCACTTTTGTTTTTTATTTTATTTAAATTTTGATATGAAATGAAATATATTTGTTATCTTAAATTATATTTTTATTTATTTATGAGATGATGGCGGTGTTTGCCAGCGAGATGGCAAGGGCAGCCAATGAGGTGATGATAGCAACAATGGTAGTAGCAGTAGCCGGCAATAATAGCTATTTGTAAAACATTCAAAACATCTAAAATTTAATTCAAAGTATTTTTAGAAATAATTTAGTTTTTAAAAATAAAAATAGTAAAAATGCACCAAATAAATATATATTTTAAAAACAAAAGTGATCCCCATAGACCCTAAATGTTTCTCTTTTTGAGTTATGAGCTTGCTTTATTTTCAGGTATACTCTTCTCAGCCATTTTAAAGAGGAAATCATATTTTAATTATAGCAATTTGATGGGAAGGCTTTCCTTGTATGAATTGTAAAGAGTTAAAGGTTCAAAAAAGGTACTGTTCTATATCCTGCGAAAACTGATTGCATTCATGCCTCCTTTTATTTTCCTAATTATTTCTTGTATATTCTGCTGATGTTAATAGCAATGTGCCAGTTTGATGTTTTATTTTATTTGGTTAAGGTTTTTTAATATAATGTTTTTTGTTCTTTTTATGCTTGAGAAGTTCTTACTGTAAGTTATTGTTGGAATACTTCGTTACCAAAAGCAATTGATCTTTTTTTTAAAATTTGATTATTGATATTTGTGTTACAGTTAGTTGAAACAATGACAATGTTCCTGGGCCCAATTATTTTGATATTTGATTGATGATGATAGACAAAGTTTATGAAAAATTTTCTCAGATTATTTTGGCTCAAATTTAATCAATAAAAATTTTTTTAGTTATTGAAATTTACTCATAACATTAATATAATATAAGAGTTTATTGATTAGTTATTCATTATATTTATTTTAAAATTTAATGATTAGAAAATTTAATTGATTAGATTTGTTATTGTAGAAGCTAATGCTACGGAAGAGGTGAGGAAGATAGAGAAGAAGAAGGAGCTCAGGCGTTTCAAGAAGCCAGAGCTAAGAATAATATTTTCATACTGTCATAACTAGGTACAGGACAGATTATATAGACCGTGTTATAGACATATGCATACGTGTACAGTTCCTATTGGATTACAAGAATACAAATGTAATTATTGTTGTTCTGAGAGCCCCCCACAAACTGACGAATCTTGCGTGATCGTTAGTTTGGCTCGTAGCAACTTGAATCTTGCGGTAGATAGCGGCTTCGTTAGAATGTCTGCCAGTTGATCTATTGTACTGATCAGGAGGAGGCGAATAATGTTGTTGTGGATATTGTCACGAATGAAGCGGTGATCAATTTCAATGTGCTTCGTTCTAGCGTGAAACACTGGGTTGTGAGCTAGCGCGATAACAGATGTGTTGTCGCAATACAGGTTTGTTGGTTCAGAGGGAACTATGCGGAAGTCAGCTATGAGGCGTTGTAGCCATAGGATGTCAGCTGTAGCAACTGCAAGAGCCCTATTTTCCGATTCGGTGGAGGATCTGGACACTGTCTTTTGTTTCTTCACCGTCCAGGAAATCAGGTTGTCGCCGAGGAATGTACAGTACCCTGAGGTTGACTTACGGGTGATGGGATCTCCTGCCCAGTCAGCATCGGAGAAGGTACGAAGTTGAAGAGTGGATTTTGTAATCGGCAGTCCGAACGTGAGTGTCCCTTTGATATACTGGAGTAGTCGTTTGAGGAGATAGGAATGGTTGGTGTCCGGATTGTGCATATGCTGGGACAGTATATTGATGGCATATGCAATGTCGGGGCGAGTAATTGTGAGGTACTGGAGTGCACCTGTAATTCTGCGGTAAACATTTGGATCGGTAAGTTCCTTGTTCGGTGAAGGTTGAGCGGGAGGTTTGGTACATGAAGGATTAGCCAAAGAGTTGCAGTTGGTTAGATTGACTTGTTGAAGTATAGAGTGAGCGTAAGAGGTTTGTGAGAGAAAATACTTAGTTGGTTCGGAAGATATGCTGATGCCCAAGAAATGCTTTGGTGGTCCAAGGTTCTTCATGTTGAATTTGAAGTGAAGTTTGTTGATTAAATCAGTGATGGTTCTTTCATTGTCGCGCGTGACAAGTATGTCATCAACATATACAAGCAAGAAGATGTGAATGTTGTTCTTAGTGAAAGTAAGGAGGGAAGGATCGTCTTTACTGTATTGGAACCCGAGGTTGAGGAGATGATCGGTGAACGTTGTGTACCATTGCCGCGGGGCCTGTTTGAGGCCGTAAATGGCTTTGTGGAGGCAGCACACATGGTTGGGGTTGATGGAATCTTCAAATCCAATTGCTTGGCGCATGTATACAATTTCATGAAGCGTACCGTGAAGGAATGCATTTGCGACGTCAAGTTGCAGGATTGGCCATCCGTGATGTAGAGCTACTGTGAACAGAATGCGAATCGTGGGAATTTTTGCCACCGGACTAAACGTTTCCTCATAGTCTAGTCTGTGCTCTTGACGATTTCCCTGAGCAACTAGACGTGCTTTGAATCTGGCTATGGAACCATCGGAATTGTATTTCTTGCGGAACGTCCACTTACAACTCAGGATTGATGCGTTTGGCAGAGGGGGAATTAAGTACCAGGTACCTTGTTTTTGGAGGTCTAGGAACTCATCCGCCATGGTCTGTCGCCATTCTTGAATTTTGCTTGCTTCCGAAAATTTTGTTGGTTCGAGAGATTCGTGAGGGGATGCCGTTGAGTGAAGAAGATTAAGCCTTCATATTGGTTTGAGCGATCCTGTTTGACGCCTTGTTACCATGGGATGACATGGAGGAGGAGCTGTCTGCTAGTGTGATTGATCAGGGAGCTGATCACAGTGTGTTCTGGAGGTGTCCGTGGAATGAGCACTTTGCTGAGAATCAGATATGATGTTGTGGCTGGGAGGGGTTATTGGTGGATGCTGAGCTTGGAGAGTGGTGCAGTTGGCAATCGATGTTGGTATAAGCATTGATGCAGGCATGTCCGGAGTGTGTTGTATTGAGGTAGAGTTGGTTTGGTTAAACGGAAACGAATTTTCTATAAATTGAACATGCCTCGAAACAATAATACGATTCGTGTCCCTGTGAAGGAATTTGTAGCCTTTTTGGTTGGTTGCATAGCCCATGAAGATGCAGGACGTAGAATTCGAATGAAGTTTGTTGCAAGAGTGAGAGGGAAGCAGAGGGAAGCATTTGCATCCGAACATCCTGAAATAAGAGTAATCAGGATTAATGTTGAACATAAGTTTAATAAGGGCTTGGTTCTTGGTGTTAGGCGTTGGAAGTCTGTTAATTAAGTAGACGGCCGTGGACACCGCATCAGGCCAAAAGGAATGAGGTATGGATGCCGTCTGAAGTAAAGTCCTTGCCGTGTCCAGAATATGCCGGTGCTTGCGTTCAACAACACCGTTTTGCTCTGGTGTGTATGGGCAAGAGATTTGATGGTGGATGCCTTTGGTTTGCAGAAACGCTTGGAACGTGCTATTTATGAACTCCCCGCCTCCGTCAGTACGGAGAGCTTTGATTTTTCGATCAGGTTGTCGTTCTATGAATGTAATGAAATTAGTAAATGTTCTAGTTACATCGGATTTATGCGTTAACGGAAATAACCAACTAAATCAAGAATAGTCGTCAACACATAACAGGTAATATCTGAAATTCTGGTGTGAGGTGACCGGAGAAGGTCCCCACACATCTGAATGAATAAGATCTAGAGGATTCAATGTTCTGTGTACAGAGTTATCAAAAGACAGCTTGTGACTCTTACAGACTTTACAAGAAACACATGAATTGTAAGTTTTGGATATATGCAGCGACGGATTGTTTGAGGCAATCATCTGTAGTATGCGTTGATGCAGATGTCCTAGTCTGTAATGCCAATTGATGTTCGCCATGTGTATAGCTAACATTGTCTTGTGTTGTCCAGGCGCTTTCTTGATTGAAACGGGATGCAGGCCGTTTTTACATGGGCCTTGAAGAATGGTTTTGTGAGTCTGCAGATCCTTGAAAGTAAAGCCATTAGGGGAAAAAGTAATAGAATTTGATTTGCGGTGACTAAATTGGAAATAGATAACAAGTTGTGTGAAATTGCAGGTATATGAAGTAAGTTAGATAAGAACAACTTGCGGTCCGGGTGGGAAGAATACCGGTGCCCGAGTGAGCTATTGACACAGTTCTTCCGTCCCCGACGAAAACTTGGTCAAATCCGGTGTAGGCAGAGGCTTGGTCAAGATTCTCTGGATGATTAGTCATATGCGTCGATGCCTCGGAATCTAGGTACCAATCGGTGGATGTGGTATCTTTGGTGGCAAGAAACGCGTTGTTATTGCCTGATTGAGTTCTTGGCGATGTATAGTTGGCGTTGAGACGATGCCAACAAATGTCCGTCGTGTGGCCTCTTTTCGTGCAAATCTGACATTGGAGAGATGATTTTGAGCTGGGTTTGCTGGTCGTGCCGGATGGCTGGGTATTACGACCTCTGCCGCGAAGTCCACACCCCCGTGTGGTATATAGAGCTGTTTGAGTGTCCGGTGTGATTGCTAGTCGCTGCAGATTAGCTTGAATATGGATCTCTTCGCTGATCAAGAGTGCATAGAGATTTTCCAGAGTCATTTGAGATTGCATTGTGCGGATCGTAGTTTTGAATGATTGATAGGCCGGTGGTAGATCATTCAGGATGTACACTATGATGTCTTTCGTGTCGATGGTCGCTCCGGCGGAGGCTATGTTGTCGACAAGCTTCTTGATTTCGGACAAATAATTTTGCATCGACAGATTTCGCATCGATATGTTGTGTAACTCGTTCTTGAGTTGAATTACTTTTGAACGACATGAAGATTGAAATCTTACTTGAAGCGCATATCATATTTCGTGCGTTGATTCAAGATGCATTACGTATGGTAGGATTGGAGCAGAGATGGTGGAGCAAATTGCCGCCGCAAGGTTCTGGTCTGTGATGATCCAGCTGTTGGGTTCATCGGCCTCAGAATCTTGATTTCTTTGAGATTCGGTGGCAGAGGAGGGAGGGTCAAGAAATTTGGCAAATCCATTTGCCTTAAAAACTTTGAGGATCTGATTTCTCCAGATTGGGTAAGTCTCCGAAGAGAGTTGATGGGGAACCAAAGATTTGAGATTAGAGACTATGAATTTTAGAGATGGATAGATCAGGGAAGTTTCGGTTGAGGAACCTGTGTTGCTGGCGATGTTGGAGGATGCAGAGGCGGACGTTGCCATGGGTTGATTCCCGGATGTTCAACCCGCTTCTGATACCATGTAGAAGCTAATGCTACGGAAGAGGTGAGGAAGATAGAGAAGAAGGAGCTCAGGCGTTTCAAGAAGCCAGAGCTAAGAATAATATTTTCATACTGTCATAACTAGGTACATGACAGATTATGTAGACCGTGTTATAGACATATGCATACGTGTACAGTTCCTATTGGACTACAAGAATACAAAGGTAATTATTGTTGTTCTGATAGTTATGACTTATTTAAACCTTTGAGTGTCGTTTAAGCGCTTCAAAGTATGTAAATGTGGATTTACCTTTTGACTACCTCTACATCCCAGTTTGTATAGGAATGATGTTTATTCGAAATGATCATCTCAACTTGAAATAATCCCTCTTTTCATTTGAGAAGGAAAGAAGATTAAATATCAGACATAAGTCATTAATCAAGTAATTTATGCAACGACTGTTTTAACAAGTCATTGCTTTATTTTTTTTATTTAAGTACCTGAACAAATTATGAGGTATTATGAACAATTCTAATCAAGCTTACTACAGGTGCTTGTATTTGGAAAATGATGCCCAAGCTCAATAATGTTTAAAAGGGCCTATCCAACACAGGAGACTCCTTGCAGGATTTTGAAGGGATTAATCGCTATATAAGGAGAATAATTGGATAGAGAAAGGAATATTTTATTGGAGTTCTAGGTTTGATAGTAGCGTTTGTAAGAGAGAGATGATGGGGGATCAGATTTAAGGCAGCACTGTTATCCCTTTTTTTTTCATTTTTTGGAAGGGAGAGTAAAGGCAGGTTGGAGGGAGACAATTGAGATTTTGCTCTTTCACAAGGAATAAATGTATAATAAGGAGGTTAACTTAGTAGGAAAAGCTGTATTGAGAAAGGAAGAAAGTTTACTGTTGTATTTCCCTGGTTTCTTGTTGCGGTTGGGCCTAGCATTTAAATGCGAGTCTGTATTTAGATCCAAGTAGTTAAGTCTATTATGAATAAAGATCTAGGATCATTTTAGATGAAAAGTGTTATGATTTGCAGCTTTTGTTGATTTGGTTTTATTTTCTTATCATTTCCCTGTAAATTAACAGTCTGGCTTTGTTTGTTAGCTTGTTATCGAGTTGAGAGAACCTGGTCGTAGCCAGTAGTTTGGTAAATGTATCTAATTGAGGCTCATATTAAGGGTTGATTAATCTCTATATGTTTGTTTCTTGAATGGAATATAGGGTTGGTGGTGAGGGTGATTGCTAATACGTTATCACTATAGAGATTTTGTTGGCGAGGGGAGAGGAATGTCTAGTTTTTGATGGAGTGTTTGGAGACATTATATTGATTGGCAAACTATTATCGAGGTGCTTGATAAGGCTATAGATAGCCAGAGCGCAAAAAAGCTCTATATAGTGGGATTTGGTGAATCCTTGTGGATGTTTCATGTAAGTTGTTTCGGGGAGATATTTATCACTAGACTAAAAGTTTCTGTGCAGTTTACTCAATGTTTATGCTTGAAGCCTTGAGCAACTAATCTAGCCACATATCTTATGATTTTAGGTTTCGTTTGGGACTTCTTGCTTTTTAAAATTGATTTCTAATAATTTTTTTTTTGAATTGGATATTTTTGTACTAGAAAGACATTTTAAAAAGCAGTACAGAAGTTATCCCAAATAAAATCTTAGTCATCTGAATTAAGGTTTGAGATGGAAATGGTCGTATGAAGATCTATGTCCCCTGGGCTTGTAATGCCTGAAATTTAACTGGCACTGTTTGACACTGATGTGTCTTTTGTAGCGGATGAGTATCTTATTGGACCGGTGGAGGCAAAGCTGTGAAGTAGCTATAAGGTTTGCTTGGGTTTATCATGTCCTGCATTAAGAGGTTGATTGTAATTAGAATTGGAGATGGAATAGCTTCCAGAGGCTGGTAGATTGGTGAGGAAGGAACATTTTGTTTTGGCAATGCGTCTGGAGCCAATGTTTGATTGTTTTGTTGCGACATTGGAGGGGCTGAAGTTGTAAATGGTGTAATTGTTTTGCTAAGGCTGTGGAAACATTGTGGTGTTCAGAGTTTAGTTTGGTAAGGAAGCGATTGATATCGGGACCAAAGTGAGGGAACAGTAATGTCAAAGGTGGAGCCTGGGTTGGGATTAATTATTTTGTGTGGATGCCGAACGTCGTTCGGAGATCAACTAGAATGCGTCACGTCACTCCTATGCTTTGTACCGCGGCTCGGTACCGCTCAGTATCACTACTCGGTACTACTGACATGGTGCATTCTGATTGTTCTCCGGGCGGCGTTCTACGTTCAGTCTCCGCATAGAATAATTTCTCCTGGGTTGGTGATTTGTTAGTTTTGATGAGAGCGTGTTGCGAGATGCATGTTTTTTTGGTGATGAGATAGTGGTATTGGCATCCCTTCCTGAGCTGTTGCATACCCTAGGAAAACATAGATTGTTGGTATTGGTGTGACTTTATTGGAGTAGGGATACAACCACTGAAGGCATTGGCATCAAAAGGTTTTAGTTGAGAGGAGGGTGATTTGTTGTGAAGGATTTGACATGGTAGCATATTTTTTTTGCTACGAACGGTAGTCTGTTTATGAGATAAGTGGCTATCATGAGTGTGTTTGTCGAAAGAAATTGGGTAGATTGGCTTCCTTTACAAGAGTGTAGATAGTCTCAATTAGATATCTATGTTTGCACTCAACAATATCTTTTTGTTCGGGAGTATATGGATGTGTATGTTGGTCCATAATAACCATTTTGGTTTGGAGATTTTGGAAATTGGAGTTGATGTATTCTCCGCCATTTGAGCTATGTGTTTTGATATGGTGAGTATATTATTTTTAAACCATAATTTGAATTGGATAAATTTAGTCATGTTTCTAATTTTAATGTGACTCAACAAAATCAAGAAAAAACATCGTGAAAGCAATGCTTTTAAAATCAGATCGGACCGGCCGGTTCAACCGGTTGAACCGCGAACCGGCCGGCCGGCCGGTTACGGTTCAAATGAAAACCTGTTTTGCAGAAAACCGGGATAACCCCGCTCGAACCGGCGGTTCGACCGCCGAACCGGTCCCGGTTTTCAAAGGAAGCAGGGATAGTCCTAACATCATCATCAAAAATATCATTTATATTAACTTTTTAAAAAATAAAATTTTTATGCATATATTATTGATATAATTAAAATATTAAAATATTATATAAATAATTTTAAAATTCTAGATGGTATTTATGTAAATACATAAAAATTTGTGATATATATGTAAATTTCTTGTTTAATGATACACTTTTTATAAATATATTATGAATTTTTTATGAATATAAATAGTTTCTAATGTTGATTAAAAATATTATATATAGTTAATGAACTTTATTCTAATAATTTAAAAGTTGACTTAAGAGCCAATCACTTTCTTCTCACTCAAATTTGACTTACTAAAAATCAAAAACTTTCATTGCAAGCTTAAACAGTTAAACCGATTTGCCTAAATTCAATTAATTAATATCACCTCTACACTAAAATAATAGAAAAAATAACCTGCGATACAGCCAAACAACAGCTAGTACCTTCAATGTAGCCGTCTGTGCAACGAAATTATAAATAATATGATAGAATAATCCCGAAGGTATCCTATGTATGCCTAGCCTAGGAACAATTATTACGTCCTCTGATCGGACGTAGAGCTACGTTCGGCTGTCAATAATATGTCGCCATGTGCTCTTACTCTCTACCGTGCAGCCCGACGACTTGGCCCGGACCGGAACCCGGGAATGCTATGTTCTCGTATTGCGAGGTATTACTCGGTATTTGCTAGGTATTGCTTGGCAATAACGAGAAATACCGCTCTGTGAAGACCAATACTGAGCAATATCGAGTCGTACCGAGAAACTCGATACAACTCGGTATTGCTCGGTATTGGTTATTGCCGAGCAAAATCGACCAATACCTAGCAAAATCGAGAAATACTGAGCCATCCTGGGTCCGTTCCGAGTCAGGTTGTCAGAGCGTGCGGTAAATAGTGAGAACGCGTGGCGCGATTCTACTGGCTGCCAAACGTAGAGCTATGTCATGTGACCGGACCAAATAAAAGTTCCTTGCCTAGAGGTGCAAGTGAGTCAACCCAACTCATGAGTTGGCTCTATCTCTGGCTTAGCTTAATAGTAAATCTCGTTGAGTTGAATAAAATTTAAACTTCGATTCATTTATGAGTATCTATCAAAGGATAAAATAATAAATAGAAAATAAATAAATAAACAAATAATTTATTTTAATATATCTTAATATAAAATCAATTTATTAAAAAATATTAAAAAGGTCTTGAGATCTACCACACCGCGTTTTGTGTAAAGCGAGGGAAGAGAATGAACAGTCAGCAGCCAGCGGTGTCATAAAAGCCGCTCCCCAACTGTCAAACACTAACCTTTGCGTTACTCTGTGCCCGCAGCCTACAAAAAGGCTCATTTAATATTCGCCGAAATTTACCCAAAAAAAATATTCGCCGAATGGACGAAGTAGATAACGAGTCGAACCATGCCACGTAGGTTGTCTCGAATTAACTGTAGTCCTCCTGGGGGATAACATAAGCATATTCTTAAGTCTAAACCTCCGCTCTTGTAGACCCCACGTGCATTCATGCTTCCAGCGTGCACCGAAGTTCTCCGGCAAAATAGCCCATAAGCTGTATAGCCAAATATGTAGCCGAAGAAGTTAAGACACGTATGGGATTTATATACATATCATAAAATTTTTATATGTTTACATATCTAATATAATTTTTTATATTTATTTATAAAATATAAATTTTTTAAATTTTATAAAAATATCATAAATATTAACTTTTTCAATTTCAATATATTTTTCATTCAATTTTAAATAAGATTAAAAATTAAAATATAATATAAATAAATATAAAAATTTAAATGCTAATATATAATACATAAAATTTTATGATATTTATAAAAAACCCCCTTATAATAATTGGAATTAAACTTAATGAAACATATTCTCTTTAGATAGAGCAATCAAGTTATAATATAGCTCCAAGAAACTTTAAAAAAAAAATGTAGCTCCAAGAAACCATCAAATAATAGATTGATATTAGGTGCTCATAACTTTGGACTCTCTAACTATAATCACTCAAAATCTCATAATTATCAACTTGTCAAAGAGGTAGCCTCAACTTCATAAATAGCCCATTTATATATAGTACTCGTCAACTTGTTGTGTTGACGAACAAGAAATATTCATTTACTCGCTCAGAGTGGCATCCATCTAGCTGAGAATATTAGTACGAAAAATTTTCCTTTCAACTCTTAGTGTATTTGTCGAAAACTCCAATATAATTAGAGTAGTCAACATACTTATGAAACTTGTCTAATCTGAGAGAGTATTTATTTTATAGTACCTGTCAACTCACTCAAAGTTGTCATGGACTCACCAAATAAGCTTATTGATTATAGTGTAATCAAAATAGGATCAAACCTATGTCATTTTGATATAAATTTACTAAATCAATTTCACTATAACTTCGGCCTTTATTTGCAAGAAATTATTCTGTGTTCAGGCCGAACACAACTCTATATTCAGAGGCGAATCACGTGCAGCCACGACAGCAGTACCGAGCAATACCGAGCCGCGGTACATAGTAAAGAGATGACATGGATCACGTGCAGCCACGACAGCAGTATCGAGCAATACCGATCCGCAGTACATAACGAAGAGATGACATGGTGTATTATGGTTGGTCTCCAAATGACGTTCGGCGTCCACACAATAATTAATCTGTATTTGCACCTATAGTAGGAAAATTGGGCTTTGACATGTCAAATCCAATAAAATTTCTCTGTTTAAATTTTGCTCCCATAAATAGCTCTACCTAATCAAAGGGAACTCAATTGAATTTTCTGATAAACGAATGATTTAAATGTCTATGTAATTTGTTGCATTTGCATTTTAATTCAGAAGTGAATTTGGAATTCATCATATAATTAATTTTTTACATATTCAGAAATAGAACAGATAGCCATTTTTTTTTTTAATTTTAAACAATTAAATTAAAATTAATGATAATATAATAATAATAATAATAATAATAATAATAACAATAACGCGTATCAACGCCAGGGAAGCAAGCAACAACACTTTACTTTACTCAACATTCAAAAAATAAAAAATAAAAAAACTAAGGAAATCGAAGCTACACATCCAGCTACACCGACGAAATAGAGCAGCTTCTCGCTCGCTCTATAAATGTGCCCAGTTCTGTGTGCCATTTCAACTGCGACCATCATTGCAATACTTCCAGTTTTGTCCCTCCAGATCCAGACGTGATGAAGAAGCTCTTCTCGGCCCGGCTGAGCTTCCCGCTTCTTCTTCTTCTTTTAGGGCTGCTTCTGGCTCCCTATTTCCAGCAGATGGCCTCAGCTTCTGGTAAGCACTAAGCATCCATCGACCATCCATAAATGCATTATTAGTAGGCCTTATTAGTATAGTTAGGGCATCTCCAACCGGCGTTGCTGGAGAGCTCCCGAACGGTAAAACTTCCGCTATTTGGTTGAGGGTGAATAGTGAGACGTCAATATTAGCGTTGCACCGTTCATCTCCGCTATTTTTTTGTGTCTACCTAACTTGCCAAAGAAATGCTCAAAAAGAAGAAAAACATTACCTTCGCAAAATTGGAGTTCGATTGGATGAATCACGACATTTATTTTAGTTTCACAGCATTTTGGAGTGAAAAAATGAGATTTTCGGTTGGTGATGGTCTTATATGAATTTTTTTTTTTTTCATTCAGCTAACTAAAGAAGAATTCAGCATCATTTTTTAAATAATATAACATAAAACATGGTCTTCTTTGTCTAAGTATGAATAGAGAATATGTTGATAGAGAAATGTTATTTTGTGGTCACTGCATAGTACAAAAAGGTCTTAATTTGTTGATGCTAAGGACTGTTCGCTGTTCTGTTTTAGGTAGGATTTCATTATTTCTAAGTAAAATTTAATTTAGGCCTCGTTTGTGATAGCTTTTTTATTGCTTTTTAAAGAAGCTTTTTTTTTAATACTAAAAAACTGCTTTAAAAAGCATTAAAAAAGTTGTCCCAAACTAAGGCTTAGACTTTTTTGAGACAGTTTTTTTATTACTTTATAAAATTAGTGTAGTAAAAGTAATTTTTTATAAATTGTAACTTTTTAGTAAATAAATTTTTTGATAGCAGCAAAAAAAAATAACTTTCATCATAAAAATTTCTAAAAACAATAAAAAAAACTGCATGGAAGAGAGAAACTATCCTAAATATAACTTAAGACTTCTTGTTTAAAAGTTTAAGTTTTCTTCCTTTGACTAACTCCTTATTAGGGCATCTCCAACCTAACCCAAACAAGCGTTTGCCGTGGCCCTGGAGCTCCGACCGAACTCCAAATTCAGCGCCATTTTGTGCAATGTGAACAATGCGACGACAATATTGGCATCGCACTGTTCACGCAGGTCTTTTTTTTCTTCATTTCTTCAAATTGAAGAAGAATATACTCGGTGTATTCTTTTTTTATGTTAAAAGTAAAGTTCAATTAGAGATGAATTAATGCATTTTAGAGTATTACTGTATTTTGGAGTGTAAAGTAAGTTTTAGGTTGGAGATGATCTTACAGCCAAACATTCCCAATCAAACATACACAGAGAAATAGGGAAAACTAGCTTAACAATAGCTTGCTTTACTTATGCTGAACATATATTGACTTGATTAAATGAATGCATACAGCATTCTGTGATGAAAAATGCAAAGTGAGGTGTTCAAAGGCAGGCGTTCAGGACAGGTGCCTCAAGTACTGCGGGGTCTGCTGTGAGGAGTGCAAGTGTGTGCCCTCCGGCACCTATGGGAACAAGGATGAATGCCCTTGCTACAGAGACAAGTACACCGGCGAAGGGAAGCGCCGCCGCCCAAAGTGCCCTTAATCTCTTCATCTTCTTCTGATTATTAAGAGCTTGGTTAGTTTGGTTGAAATATGTAGCAGTATCATGAATGCTTGTGTTCGTTTGGGTTGATGAAGAATTTACTTATAAGGAGTCAGCAGTGTTGTTGAATAGAGAGATGAGAGAGGAAATAAACGTTGTGGTTTAGTCTAATGTGTGTGTTGATGAATGAAGGATTTTTTTTTTTTTTTTTTTACGTGTGTTTTATGGAATACTATATATATTTTTTTTATTTTTGATGTTTGATGTGGTTGGATTAGTTGGGAGTTGTATTGGTTTGATGATGGAGAGTGAAGACTGACCGACCTTTGTCTCTTATAAGAGAAATTATTACCTGTAGAATTTGGATGTAGTTTTCGTCCGGACTCCAATGAAATGAAGCCACGTGGTTTGTACACATTCAGTGTACAACTTATACACAATATGGGTATAATTTTTCTTATATATACCCCGTGTATAAGCTGTACACGGAGTGTGTAGGCTTCTCATTGGAGTTTGGATGTGAGCTATGTCCGAACTCCACACATAATAATTTCTCCTCTTCTAGACTCTGGAAATATTTGAAGAGATATGAAATAAGTTAGCAATAATGATATATCGATGACAGTATAACTGTACAGAATTCTAAGAAATTCCTTCAATGGAACCCTCAGCTTTACCTGGTACCAAAGGCTCGAGCATTCCTCGTGCATTCACGTGAATTGTCATAGAGAGTAATACTACTCTCTCTCTCTCTCTCTCTCTACTTGAGAGCTGGGACTAAAAATTTAAATGAAGGAAGAAAAAAATACAAAATCATCAGAAGGATATTTGTTTTAAATGAGGGGGAATGTTCCACACATGAGCATTAAGGAGGGTGATAGTCAATAGAGGAAAAATAGAGGGCGTGTCTTCCAAACATCTATAATAGGCTTTTGCCATGAACCAAAGGTCAGGAGTTATCTGATAAGCTTTGGAAGTAAAAATAGCCAATAAAAAAATACAAGTAGAAATTGTAAGAATATGAAGATAGGAGTTGATCTTTTTATTATCTCTTCAATAAGAAAGAAAAATCGAAGTGATCTATTATTCAAGAGGTGATCAGCTTTCCTATAAATCCTAGATGCCATTAGAAACAACACCTAAAAAAAACTATAACAAACATAATCACATAATCAAAATAAAATAATCTAATTACTCTTAAATAAACCATCATATTTCCCTCCTAAATCTTAATTCAAATCAACGTTCTTTCCTATAATAAAACCCTTTTAATTCCCTCTCAAATTTGAATGCAAAGAGCCATCTTTCAGTTTTTCCTTCAATAAATATTTTCTAATTTCCTTCCAAATCTAAATTCAAATCAGACTCATTTTCCTAAATAAATTTCTTCTAATTTTAATTAAAATTTTTCTAAACAACTCCCCTTTGATTCCTCTTCCTTGCATAGTTATCTTCTTTTTAAATACATGACATCTGAATTTCTGTTTTCCGGTCTATTAATTTGTTCTCTTTTGCCTTTATGATTCGATATTAATTTGCAAGTGTGATTGATTCTCGTCAAAACTACTACTGTTGGGTTTGAAACATAAATGATTTTTTCATGCTTCTAAATTTCTTTCAAGTAGACGACGATCATTAAAGTATTATTTAGGCAAATCTGTCAAATTTGTAGGTTTGCATTAAAAGAAAGCAATTTCTTATTAGTTTGAATGGTGATCATTAAAACTACAAAATCTGAATCTGTTTCGTATGAATTTTATACATTACATCATTTAGTTCGATTAGGAATCCTAGTCTCTAAGACATCTTATATTCCTAATGTTAGGATTGGTCCAGATTTAGATTAAATCGTTCTGTAAGACATCATATCTATGTAAATACATATATATAGATGCTATAGGTTGATGTATAATTGGGAAAAATGAAATAAAACTTTAGAAAGTTTTCCTCCTAAAATATGTTCTCTTTTCCTTTCGTATCTCTTCCTCCCAAGAAGTTCAACATACATCTTATTCCTCCAAGATTCTAACAACTGGTATCTAAGCTTGGTGGATGTGAAGGTAATTTCTTGCTCAAAAAATCAAATTAGAGGAGCCGGATGGGCTGGTTTGGCCACGTGAAGAAGCTAGAATAGGCGCCATGGGAGGTTGCACGAAGTGCGGGGTTGGCCACATGGGATGCGGTGTGATAGCTGAAGCCGCTGGATTCGGGTGACGAGCGCATTGGTACGAGGTCCGAAGCAGAGGCTCGGTGTACTTCACGCGGGATTCGCGTGGGCGTTAGGGAAGGGAAGTTCGAGCGAATGCAACAGATCGGGTTGAAGATATGGGTTACACTAACCACCTTACACGAACAAGATCGTGTTCCTTGCCAAGCCCATAAGCTTCTTCCTCCTCAGTTAAAGCAGATGGGAGAAAGTCTTGTGGGTGGTGGGTTTTCCACAAGAAACAAGGTGGGAGACGGGCTTGCGAAATTGGAAGTGGAGCCAGGACGTCACAAAAGACTCGGGCTCGAGCAAACATATGGAGGAAGAAGAGTCTACTAGCAAGGCTCGATGCTGGGTTTCTTGTGTGAAAGAGAAGAAACGGGAAATGAAATATGTCGACAAACACTGTCCTTGATGGAAGCAGGTGGAGCAGTGGCTCTTGGTCAAGGCAAGGAAGCATGATGAAATGCCGCAAGGTGGAGGTGCAGCTACTAAGAGGTGACCGGTGGGATGAAGAGCAAGGTGTTGTTGCTTGGTCAAGACAGTGCGATAGCATTCAAGATTTATCTTCCTTTATTATTATTTTTTTTTTTCATTGTAAAATCTAAACTAAGGTGGAGATTGTTAGGATTGGTCCAGATTTAGGTTAAGTCATTCCGCAATACAGCACACCTATGAAAATACCTATATATTAATAGAATAAAGCTTTAGAAAGTTTTACTCCTAAAAAATGTTCTCTCTTCCTTCCCTATCTCTCTCTCCCAAGAAGTTCAAGATACATATTCTTTCTCCAAGATTCTAACACCTACATAAACAAATTTATGAGATTTTTAGTTCAAAACAAGAAAAATCTAAAAGTAAGGGAATATTAAGAACATAATGCCCTCTCGCCGTGTCCAGGACACGAAATAATATTAGTAACCTGGAAGGCATGGAATAAATAAGACATTTTTTCCACTTGTAAATTACAATGATTAAGACCTACAATACTTTTCACCAATCAAGTGCATGCATGTGGGTGAGGTTATATAGACTGACATACTGTTGGTGATTGGTCCTGCAGTTTCAGGTTTTATACAGTCAAGCCATTGAATGATAGGAAAGTTATGGGCTGATTTTTCAACAAAAATTTCTCTTCTGCTCAGCTTATAGCTAATCTGTTAAATTTTTAATTGAATTGCACTACATTCCATTTGAGAGCATACATAATTTGGGAACATCCTTCCATAGATGTTTGAAATATTGCAATCAGAAAGTAAGAAATCAACATATCAATCACTTACATGTTGGTGTACAATACTTGTTAGTTTTTATTATCTATAGACAATGGAAATATGGAATGGACAAATTACGTATCTTACCTGAGATTTTATCTTCTTTGTGAGACTTTTTCAACAAATCCAACCATCTGCCATTGAAGGTTCCCCAGCCTTATTAGGCTGCTGAAGAGGATACACATCCTTCTAGTCTTGTTGTTCTTATAATGATGAGTCAGAAGAAACTTCAATCATCCATGAAGATCTTAAATTTATCATTTGTGGAGTAATTATGAGAAACAAACATGCAAATATGTGATTTGATGATCGTGTTTCTTAAATTACTGAAACATTTGATCTGCAGGGACCAGAGGATGAAATTGATTTTAGAAGATAGGCCTTTGCTCTTTGGCTCCACTAGAGAGACAGCTAGTGGAGAAGTAAGCGCTTTACATGGCTGTTCAAATGCCTAACACATTGAAAATTGTGAGGTGAGAATCAATATCATTGCTCATAACCTTCATATGAAACTCTTTTACCACATATACAGACATTAATAGGATTAAGTCTGATAAGCAAAGGAAATATAAGGGTATTAGGAGAGGTTAATGGTTGTTGGATTACTCCACTGCCTTTTGAACCATAAGTGTCAACCTTAACCAACACATCCTTAGCTTGAGAGTTTCCAACTTTGTCAAACCTCTCCATGGTTGAACCCTTTGAATCATGCAAAAGGGAGCTTACCTCTCCTTCCAAATTATGTTAATATGTTGAATGCTTATGTCACATCAAGAGTAAAGTTTCTGACTAACTCTAGCCTGCAGTATTGGCTAAAAAATTGGCATAATTTAGTAAGGACCAAATGGTAATTCTAGTAGCATTAAAGTAGAGGCAATGATAGGAAATAAGGCTTCCCTGAAAATGTAACAACAAAAGAATTATGTGCCATGGAGTGTTCACAGTTTTTTATCGCACTGATCAGTATCTGTAGATGCAATTTAGATCCAAATGCAGATACTCCTCCAAGTATGTCTGTTGGAGATGTTTTGATTGCTCAATTCAAATCCCCACGGCATATTCATCTAAGTTTAGTAGGCTACAACCAGGATTTTTCCTCAAACCTTTCACTCTAGCCTTATGTCTTAGATTGGTGGCTTCATTCCACATACTAGCCTCAGAATACATGTTTGAAACCAGTGAATAAATACCTGGATTATGGGGCTGTAGCTTTAGGAGTTCCTTGCCAACGACCTCTCCGATTTTCATATTTTTATGAAATTTACAAGCACCAAGCAAAGCACACAGTGCATTGAGCTTATTCTTCAATGGATAATGGTTAACCAAATCATAAGCTTCTTCAAGTTGGCCTGCCCTACCCAATAGATCCACCATGCAGTTGTAGTGCTCCTCAGAGGGAGAAACAGAATGATCTGCATTCAAGACTTTAAAGACATGCCAAGCTTCTTCAACTAAGCCACAATGGCTGCAAGCAGAGAGCACTGAAGTGTATGTCATCCCATCGGGACTTACATTTTTCTTTTGCATTTCATAGAATAGCTTCAAGACCTCTTCAGCATATCCATGAATTCCATACGCACCAATCATTGTGTTCCATGACGTCAGACTTTCTTTCCCCATACAATTGAATACAGTGTCAGCCATATCCAACCTTCCACATTTTGCATAAGCAATGATAACTGAATTCTTGGTGGCACAGTCTTTCTCCAAAAGAATTCGATAAATGTAACCGTGAATTTCCTTCACCGTTGCCAGTTTTCCTAGTTCCATGTGTGCTTTAAGTATTGTAATAAGAATGACAGAATCAGGTTTCTCTTGTGCTTGCTGCATTAGTCGAAACAAAAGAACAGCTTTGTCTACATGACCACAGTCCATATAACTCATCATCATTATTGTCCATGAAACTAAATCTTTCTTAATCATGGATTCAAAAATGTTTCTTGCAGTATTAATGCATCCCCATTTAGCATACATGTGCAGAATCTGGTTACAAACATCTAAATTTGAGTTTAGATCATACCTTAATATGAATCCGTGAATCCACTTGCCAAGCTTGGTATATGTTATATCAGAAAATGCTGAAAGAAAACTTACCATTGTCACAGAATTAGGATGGATACCTTCTTCAAACATTCTTCGGAACAAATTAATGGCCATATCAACCTTTTTGTCCCGAAGATAAGCAGATAGGATAACATTATACAACACAGTGTCTCTTACAACTATTTCATCAAATAGCTTTCTGGCATACCCTATTTCACCACATTCAGAATACAAATCAACAAGAGAAGTGACCACAACTAAGTCAGGTGAAATATCTCTTCTGATAAGGTAACCATGGATATCTTTAACTCGGTAAGGACAACCTATATCAGCACAAGCAGCAATTATGTTTGATAAGGTGATTGAATCAGGGAAAACTTTTTCTTCTTTCTCCAAATCATTGAAAATCTCTAATGCCTCGGTACTTTTGCCCCATTGAATGAGGCCAAAAATCATGGCATTCCATGAAGCAATACAGGTTCTTTCCATTTTCCTCAACATGGAAGTAGCTAAATGTGAAGCTCCACACCTAGCATACATGTCAATAATGCCGGTCTGTAGAGCTTCATCTGATAGATCAATCGCATTCTTCATAGCATAGCAGTGGACTGCTTGACCTTTTCTAAGTTCTTCTAACTGTCCTGCTACCTGGAGCAAGCTAACTAATGTTACACGATTAGCAGATAAACCTTCTATATGCATATCAGAAGCAATTCTGAAAGCCATTTTAGCAGGAAAGCCAGGAAAACTAGCATACCCTGTAATCATAGCAGTATAAGCAACGACATCCTTATCAAGGATCTCCTGAAAGGCCTGAAATCCATCATCAATTAGTCCACATCTGGAGTATAACCCAACCAAAGAAGAACCAGTAAACTTATCTGTGTTTAAACCAACTTTGAAAGCATCAACATGGATTGATTGTCCAATTTCCAAAATACAAAGCTCAATGCTACCCTTCAAACTAAATGTAATAGCTGAACTATCAACTCCAAACCCCATAAATTTTAAATTTTTATATAACCAAAGAGCTTCCTCAAACTGGCCAGCCCTATGATATCCGACAATAGCGGAGTTCCAAAGGGAAACATTCTTGTTAAAAATCTTAGCAAACACCAATCTTGATTCATATAACCCTCCAAAGTTTGCATAACAGTTCAATAATTTGGACCCCAAAAATATGTTCTCACCCAGCCCATGAGAAAGAATGCTAGCATGAAGCTTTCTCACAAATCTGATATCTTTACAAGTTTGCAAACTGCAGGTAAAATACTCTGCACTATGCAGGCCTCGTGTTGATGAACTTTCGATGACAGAACTTGAAATTTTCCATCTGAAAGATCGCCTCTTTGTTGTCAAAAAAAATAAAACGATATGATAAAAGATTCATCTTTCATGGTAATATTCGGGTTGGGATAAAACTTATGCAGCCAATGAAAATTAACTCAATTCAGAAAATGACGAAGCTTCTCTGCCCGAAATAAATGTGAAAATCGCACCTTTTAAAAAAAAAAAAAAAAAATTCCCACTACGCCCAGGAGGAGTGGCAGAACTAACAATCCACGCAAACTATAATTTTGATAGGCATATGGCAAACGAAAAAAAAGTGATGAAAACCTTGAAAATCGAGAGAAAACGACCTAATTGAACTTGAGGGGAGAGAAATGAAAGAGGTGCGTCCCATTGCCCTAGTCTTAAAGCGAGTAGCTGACTACCCGCTGATCACCGACAGCCTGAGGTTGAGGTTGAGGTTGAGGTTGAGGTTGAGGAAGGCAGAGGGACGCCGGCCATGGGCTGGCCCAAATGGTTAAGCTGTGGAAGTCCTCATACCTTCTTATTTCTTGCTTTAAGTTGTGGAAATTTTGATTTTCTAGGCCCTATAATGCTCCAATTTGTATATTTTCGATATTTCTTTCGTTTGTAAATACATATAAAAGCTCGGTTCGAATTGGAGCACCTCTGCCTTTAGGGTGTCAATATTTGAAACCATTCAAAATTTTGAATTTGACTTGAATTTGATTCAAAAAATTCATATTAGAATCAACTCAAATATGAAATGGGTTGGATTTCGGGTTTCAAAATTTGACCCTTTTAAAAAAATGAGTTTGATCCGGGTCAACCCGTAAACTCGGAATTGACCCGGACATACCCCAAAATCGTGTCAAGTCTTGCATCAAGCATCTAAGTCGTGTCAACCTCAAATTGCGTCTGTGTCAGCCCGTCACCTGTCGGTGTTGCATGAGCCCCTCCACTATTCGCAAGCCTCCACCGAAGGTTGCCTGCCCTTCATCGTGTCCAGTCGTCCACCCATCAAGGTTGTCATCTAGTCAGCCCGTCATCGCATGTATCATTGTAGCCTCTGCTTGACTGATGTTGCAGCCTCTGTCGGCTGCCTCCGTCACTGTTATCCGCCACAACCATAACTGAAAAATGCCAAACACAGCCGTCTCCTCCATCCGTCACAGCCTCTGCCGCCTCTGCCGCCTCTGCCTCCACAGCCTTTAGCTAGACTCTGAGTCATGCCAGGTTGACCTAGACCCGAGGCGGTTTGGGTATGAGAATCTTACCCATTTTTAAAAATGGGTAAGGCTCGAGTCAGAGCAAATATTGTCGTGTCAGTTTTGGTTTGGACCCACAAAACCCGATTTAGACAGCCCAACTCTGCTTCAAATTGTAGATTTTAGGGACATGGTGATGAATTTTAGGTCAATTTACAACTCATACGAGTATCATTTAGCTCAAGTGGATTTAATAAATTTTGTAAATTCAAAATCTATTAAATTACGCAACTCAACTTGATTTATTGTTTGAGAGCTTTAGCTTCCAACCAAAAAGTCTTGAGTTCGAGTTTAACATATGTATTGTGTATGAGTTTATAAGTCATATAATATAATTGAACATTGTTCTAATAGGTTCAAGTATGATATATACAATAGTGAGTAATTATAGCAAACATAACATAACAAATTCAACTATAAGTCTACAATGCAGTTGACTATTATTCATAACAAATACAAATAGTAAACATTACAACATTACACAATCATTCATTGACACCAAATTAAGATTTACAATTAATCAAAATTTATTATCAAGGCGATGGACAATTGACCATACGACAAATTTGATGACATTTAACTCTACATAGGCTACACCAACATTGGACTACATCATTTTCCTCATTTAAAATCCTTTTATGTTTCTTTCGACGATCACTTGTAGGTTTTACCAATATAAGTAATATGACAATTATTTTTATTTCATTTGGAACCTTCCAAATATCTTCTTCTCCATCTTGATATATATTTTCAACATATAGCTTATCATGCTTCATGTGTATTAAATTTTGAGCCTAAGCTTTAGGAATACACTCAACTCTATACATATTCGCGCAAAAGACCTATAACATCAAACATTCTACTAATACATATCCTTGGTGCCTAAGAACCATAACATCAAACTTTCTACATATACGAATCCTCTTATGTATGTTAACATCACCATTACGATCTCCATCAAAGACTGTATTTCAAATTGACTAATAGGATAGATGATCAACATAAGATATTAAGATTGAGTTCTTAACGTGTATTTTGCCAAAATATCTAAAGAGCTCAATTTTTTATAATCTTTGAATGCCAAGCAGGGGCAGAACCCTATGTTGGTCAAGGGGGCAATTGTCCCCTCTAAAAAAATTAAAATATCTTTTATATGAAGGGTTATTATATGATTATTTAGGTAATTTGTTCCCCTCCATCTATTTTTTAGTCTTTATTATAAAGTCTATAAACAATTGTCACCAACATAATTAAACACATTATGTAGATGTCTTATTATTAGAGAAGGATGAACCAAATACAAAAAGAAATATTAAAGTGTATTTATCATTTTATTTATTAATTTGAATTTCAAAAATATCATTATAATCAAAATTTGTGCAGGGGGCGCTGCCCCCGAAAACCCCCGTAAGGGGTACTAGCACCCCTTGACCCCGCGACCTGATCGTACAGGTTGAACCTTCCAGTTACTTAAAAATCCCCCCCCCCCCTCTGAAAATTAAGGCTGGTTACGCCCCTAATGCCAAGTGATATTCCTCATGACAAATATTAATTTTGAAATTCGTCGTGATATTCTTTGCCACATTATAAGTGCAAGCTCAATCGCATGCTTTTGAAAAAATAGCTGGCAATACTATTATGTTATAAGAGATAAACACTAAAGTTTTCATTATGCATGTTGATTGCCACTAATTTTAAGAAATTTTTGTACTATAAAATTGATGTATAAAATAGAGAAAGTTGTCCCAAATCAAGTCTTGGGCTTCGTTTGTGACAGCTTTCTTACTATTTTATAAAATAATTTTTTAATATAAAATTTTCTTGAATTAGAAATTTTGATATTACAAAATTGTTTTAGAAAACAACAAAAAAGCTGTTCCAAATGAAGCTTTAGTCAATTGCTTGATCTAGCTTTTGTTCATACAAACACTTTCCATGCCATCCAGTTCCAAGTACCCTTTGTGCAATAGCAATGAAAAGCCTTAAGAAAATCATAAAAATTTCTCTCCAAGCAGTACTGCACAGTTTGAAATTATAGAGAAGGGATCAACTATAACACCTGAAAACCATAAGATTCAAACAATTAATATATTGATTGAAAACATGAAATCAGCTCTCGAGTTCAGCTGTGGCTATCTGGACCAAAATTTTCACTCTCGCCTGATGTCACCCTTCACCTGAAAAAATTATTTTGTGCGGAGGCTGGACGCAACTCTGTCCAAAGGCGAATCAGGTGTAGCCACGTCAGCAGTATCGAGCTGTGATACATAACAAAGAGATGACGTGACACGTTCTGATTGGTCTCTAGAGAACGTTCGGCTTCCGCACATAATAATTAATCCTTCACGTGAATCTGCTTAATGAAGTTTGGGCTGAGAGATAGTAGTAATCAATGCAAATGCATAAAATTTATTTATTAAAAAAACATAGAATAGGAAATTAATTTTTAAAAATACAAAAATAATTTATAAAAATTCACTTATGATCTATTTGGTATGGTTGCAGCTCATCCTTATAAAAAATTAGTGCAGCCAAAATATAATAAAAATTTTAGAACCCCTAAAGAGGGGCTCCCTGCATCAAACCTATGCGAGCCCTAAAAAAAATTAAAAAAAAAATTTATATATATAAAAAAAGAGCAAAGACGACTAGAGTAGAAACATATGGAGCTCCCTTCCAGTTTGATTTGCTTTTATTATTATTATTATTCATATTTGGTTTATGTTCATTAATATTTAATATTTTGTATTAATATATTTATTTTGTTGTTATTATATGACTTATTTATAAATATAAACTAAAATAAATATATAAATTAAACGAAAAATTTTAATTATTGTGAATAAAAATAATAAATCATCAAATTCATGACCTCGGCAACACAATTAGCACCATATATATACACTCTGCCTTGATTTTTATATACATACTTTAATTCTCATATTATTTTAACCAATATATATACAGACTTAATTTTTAATACGATATATCTTAACAAATTTTGAGCATCAACACAAATAAATTAGAGACGTTTATAAAATTTTCGTTAAGAAATAGAGACTAAAGAGAGATCAGGGCCAAAATAACTCCTGATTATTTAAAATTTTCATTTTTTCAATTAACTTTTAAAATAAATACCTAAATGATCTCATGAAAAGATTAATTTAATCATATTTGAACAGTCAATGAATCAAATTTACAATTTTATAAAGTCGATGACTATTTTAAAGTTAATGGTTGAATTTGATATTTTTCTTTGACTAAAACATATGATCATATTCAACGCATTAGTTAACAAATGAGCCAAACACCCAATGAATCTCAATGGGAGAGATTATTAAATTCAGAGACGGGACACAGAGAATCATTTGATTTTATCTTTGTGAACAGTAAACGTGCATTGATGAACATTAAATGTATTTTTAGTGTTCAACTGTTCACAGAAACAAAATCGAACAGTACTCTGTATCAGATATCCGCACGTAATAATCTCTCCTATAACATAGGGGGAAAGAAAATATGACAGCATTTTCCCTTTCATTAACAATCATTAAAATAAAAATAAATGATCACTATATAAAATTAATAGTCAGCATTTTTTTTACATAAATTATATATTATTATATCTGAATTAAATGCTCAGCATAAAATTTGATTTCACATGAGCTGTTCTGTATGTTTGGCATGTATTACATGAGAGAACACATAATCACTTTGAATTGCAACCAAACAAACAGTTCCTTATTAAGGAATGTCACTGCATTGATTTTACATAATAATTTCTCAAATAGTTGGAAGGAAGCTACTGATGATGATGATGATGATGATGAAAGTGTTAAAAATAACAAATGCCAGCTGCAAATAGCATTGCAAGCCTTTCAGAAAAACCTCAAATTTTCAGACAACAAAGAAATTATTATAACAGTTGTTTTGGCTACCACTTCTCTCAAATCAGCTAGGCCAGCTTCTCAGCTGATATTTTAGCTTTGTCCAGCTGCCGCAGCCTCTCTCCCTCCGCGCACAAATACTCATGGAGCTTCTCCTGCAATTATACCAAGTTAGCATTCTACACAACTCAATTTGATCGGTGGGTTGGGAGCTTAAGCTATCAATTAAAAGGTCTTGAATTCGAGTTTTATGTATGCGATGTATGTGTGAATCTGTCTTAATTGACCTAAATGCCACAAAAAAAAATAGCATTCTTATTAGCGGAGGCCGTCACCTCAAAAGATAACTTTACAAATGATACTTGTGGTATGTGTTTAATTTTTCATCTACATTTCGTTTGGGGCCACTTATGTCTATCAACTTTTGCTGTTAAAAGCTATTTTCCTGACACACTTTCTATCATGTTTCTCAAAAGCAACTTTTTAAAGGCAAATTTTTTAAATCTCATTGAGAAAAATTGTCATTCAAACAGAGTTTTTTTTTAAGGGATGGTTTTCCTACCAGAAAAGCAATAAATAATTTGTCCCAAATGAGATCATAAGTGCTCACAGAACCCCATTTTATATTCTAGTTCCTCTACTCTTTTTACATGAAGAAGGAACCAATTTGGTATTTTTAGAGTATGCCGTGAAATTAAAGGCAGTGGACGGAACGATATGCTTCATACGAGATCCAAAAACCCAAAGCACTCTCCTTATTGGAAAAGTTTAGATCTACAAGTGTTGTGCTCTTCTATCTGGAGATTCAAATGACATGAGAAAAAGAAGAAATCACATTATATGCACTCTTTTAATTACAAATAATTCCTGATTGAGATTATCCTATCTTTGCACTTGTACTGTGACCTTAGAAGACTAGATTTACAGTCTACCTTGGTAGACTATGGATCTATATTTGGTATAAGGTTGTAGATTTTCCTAGTTCTAGGAAATGCGTGGACAACTTAAAAGGTTGAATTCAGATCGTGTTGAGTCTAGAGAGACACCGGTTACATAAATATAAGCCATTGCTTCTATCATAAAGGGTAGAGATGATTGACATGAAACATTAGAAAGGTTTATGGACAATTTTATAAAGCAAATGACCCTCCTGACTTTAACTTCTCATAAACATAAGGGGGTTGCAATTAAACCTCATAGTAAAACTTCTCCAAAACAAAGGTGAGTGAAGATGCACAGGAGGAGGCAGATGAAGATACATGGGAGAAGGCAGATGAAGATGAGGATATTCATGTCCAACCATGACACAAACCTCCATTTAAGTTGGATTTACCTTCATATGATAGAGAGGATGTAATGCTTGGCCAAAGATACCCTTACATGCTATCATGTAGTTGAGCATTGATGCCAATAACTATCACTTGACAAAAATTTCATGATCTTAATTTAAATGTCTCCTTAATCCCATTACACATGAGAACGTCCAATGAATTCAATGATAATAACTTGGACATATATAAAGCAAGTTTTTGAAACTTCATCATAAGATAGGTCAATTTTCATGAAATATGTGAAGAGTTAACATGAATGACTCCAATTGCAGCTAAAACACCAATCAATTGTTAGTCTGTGTGGAATCTGATTGTGTCGATCAATCGGATTATGAGTGAAGGCAGGAAATGCGAGAGTGAGAGAAGATATTTATACTTATTTCTCCGCATTTTTATAGTGGATTTATTGGTGTGGGGTGGCTCCGTGGTTTTATCCCGATTTCATTTTCACCTTAAATCTTTGTGTCCATTATTTTTTGCTGCATTATATTTTTCTTATTTATTTCATTGCGGCGTTTTACTTCCACACATCCCCAACAACAACCATATTACATAAGTTAGCTCCAAGGCCATTGTAATTTAAGAAAGAGATAAAGCTAAGTTTGGATCGCAAGCAAAAAAGCCAGAGGAGGGAAATGAGTCAAAGGGTGATTAGAAAACTGATAATTAATCATATTTAAGTGACAGTAATCAAAATTGTTGGAAGCTCCGCCTTAAACTTTATGTCAAAAGGGATGCATGAAACATGAAGTAATCAATGACAAATGTTACAAAAGGTCATTGAAATTAAGAGAATGCAATATTTGAATCCAAAAATTGCCAAATGGGCATGCAAATGTGGAGCGAATCAAACAGGAGCGAATCCAATTGAACGTGTAGGACAAGCAAAGTGGTGAAAAATGTTTTTTTGCTCAGCTAGCTAGACAATTTAATCTCAAAAGCTTTGGTGCGGAAGCTTGGACTAAAGACTAACCCTCATGCATCCCAAACCTAAACTCATGATTCGGATCAACAAAAGAAAGAAGAATATCATCAGGTTTGTTATAACTAAAAAATTTATAGTTGAAGAAACTTGTGAAGTGATACTAGAAGTATGCCGCATTATTCAAGGAATTTTCATTTGTAGAAAAGGGATGTCATCTCTTTTAGAAGATTGCAAAAATGAAGATTTGTAAAAGAGGATGAAGTATTCATGCTTACAAGTTCCCCATCCTTTTCTTCTGATTCTGTAAAATATATACAAGGAAAAGTTTATGTACAACTTTTCTAACAAGAGAAGAAAGTACAATCATCCAACTTTTCTATGTTAGAATCAATTAAGAACCATAAAGATACCAAGTTCTTGCATTAATCACGCCGCAACCTATGCTCCAAAACTCGCTCCCATAGTTTTAAAGTCTGACACATTAGCTTAATACCTCTATAATTCGCACAATCTTGTACATCACCTTTATTCTTAAAAATAGGAATTAACACACTCATTCTCCACTCATCTGGCATCTTAGTCTTCAAAATAGTATTAAAAAGTTTAGTAAGCCATGAAAACATATAAGTCATCCAAAAGGAAAAAAGATTTTATACTAGAAAAGATAGGTAATTGAAACTACATCCAGTTAAGAAAACTCTACTACCGAGGAAAAAATTTTAATGCCTTGCTAACACAAAAAAGCAAAATGGTACACCGAAAATATGAGAGGAGCCATTTGCAGGAAAAAATTCGAGCACAAAGGGAGCCCTAATCTAGGAAGTTCCTGATAATAGTACACTCTTCAAGTTTATTGACCCAAGAGGCACCCTTAAATTTAAAAAATAAAATAAGTTTCTAGTATTTCTAGAAGCATTCGAAAGGTTTCATTATCAAGCCTATTTTTTTACAAAAGAAGGCCTAAGAATGGAGTGCAAATTAAGAAAGATGGGAGACCTTACAACAAAATTACCAATTCAAAATCCAAATATAGAGGTTAAAGCCTAGAGAAATTCAAAGGAAATTTTCAAATTCAAAAAGAAAAAAAAAATGTAGCAAGAAAATTCAACTAACTCTCCTAAAAGGAGAGGACTTCCAAAAAAAGGAAGGAAAAAAGTAAACTCAAGTTCCATAATTCACTCCATAGAAATCCCCCTTTCTCTCCTAACCGCTCTCATCAAAAGAGGAGAATTCTTAGGAACATTCTCTAGGTAATTTTTTTAATTATGTAAATACATTCTGATGAGCAATAATATAAGGGCTTTTCATGGAAAATTGCTGATCTTAATTATATTAGTAGATTTGCTTATTTGTATGGCTTATTTAAATTTCTAGTTTGCTTACATGTTGACTATAAATAGTCCTCTGTGTTTGCTAGTTAGAATCAATTTAGGAAGTGATTTTTTTCATTCAACTCATCTAAGACTCTCCTCCCCTCTCTATATGAGTGTTATATTTGATATCAAAATAATATAGGGTGATATGTATGTAATATTAAAGTTTTGGGTGTTAGATATGTAAATAGAATGGTATAAAATGATATGTATGTAAATTTCCCTATATAATAATATTCTATATCCCTCGTTGTTTCAGTGAGTACAGTGCTGCAAGAGCAGGAAAAATAGTAGCTCTAGTTTGAATCACTGATTGCATCCATCCATGAAAGACCTGAGACTTGTATTAGCTGTTGGTTCTCTATATTTGTGTTAAACAGTGAATCTATTCGCTATTTTATGTTAAAATAAGAGTAAAACAAACTTGGAAAAAAAAAACATACAAGGAGGAGAAGGTCTAGGGCTTCTCTGGTAGGTTATCCTGGCCCTCTAAGCAAATTCCTCACATAAGTTAGGTTGTAAATTTCATTCACAACCTCACCAGAGAATTAATTTTTTCCCAGCCATCTTACATTCTCTTTTTTTATAGCAAATCATTTTTTATTGAGACTACTCTATCTTTACCCAAAAAAACTACTTGTATTATGATCCCATTCATTGAGAAAGCTGTACCCAAAGCCAATATTGATGGATTTTGGATCAATGCTGGAGGAATAAAAGAATTGGATTCTTAGCAATCTTCAGATCAGGGTTTAATCAAACAAATTCACGAGTCAAACCTTTATCTAAGCTAGCTTTGTAAAATGAAATGCAAATGATCAAGAAGTGCAAAGCTTCTAACATTGAGCAGTTTTGGAACAAAATTTTCTTCTTAGAAAAAGAAACTCACATGAAATATCATAAAAGATGTAACATGGAGATTAAAGTGCATACCATCATTTCATAAACTTGCCTATGATTAAATTTAAGCATGTAATGCTGTATGAGATTTTAATTGACTAAAAGTATAAACTGTTAAATGATTACATGATCTATCGTAAAGTGGACATATAAAAACATAAGGGAATCAGGATCTATATATTGTGGACAATGAAATAGTTAAATGATTAAATGAAATGATAATTAATCATATCCTACTAGAGATTTCACTGGATGAAAGGGGAAGAGAGTGGGGAGGATGGCTAGGTTTTAACACTTGAATAAAAGGAAAATTTGATGTCTTGAAATTGCACATTTCCAAATAAAGATGTCGCTGGCCTCAAATCATGAAAGGTTCAGAACATTAAAAAGTACACAAGAAACACGATGTTGGTGGATGTGGCAAAATGGGTTGAACCAGAATATCTTTTGAGGTTAGGCAAAATATGATTTGAGGCTATACAGTCTTAGGCATTAAATAAAAAAGATTTTTTTTTATAATTTTGGGCAAATAAATTTATTGAGGAAGGGGTGAGAAGAAATAGTTAAAACATTTATTCTACAAAATGAAAAGAAAATCATAGTGGATAATTGACTATCTTGAGCTTTTTTATAGGTCTGCTCCTACTTATTATGTAATTTTGCTCATATTGCTTAAGCGGTTATTTTCATTTAGCATATCAACCTAATTGGATAATCCTAATACATTTAGGCTTCATTTGGGACAGCTTTCCTAATGCTTTCTAAAGTAGCTTTCTAATAAATAAAAATTGGTTTAAAAAAAAATTGTACTAAGAAGCTGTTTTATAAAGCAATAAAAAAGCTATCCCAAAGATAATCTACTAGAATATAGGAGCTCATTGCAGGTTTTTTTCCCTCTAACTTTTCCCTCTAACTTTTCCCTCTTCTATATGAGCTAATACTACTACTAAAGTAATAATATTATATGTAGATAGATTTATATCCAACATATTTGATTGAAAAAGAATTGAAATATGATAACAAATAAAATGATAAAATTACCTGGAAGAGCTTTATAATGACACAATCCTTTGTAAAGAAAAATAATTCATTTTCTATTCCGGATTTTCTCATAAAGCTTGAATGGATTAAGTTTTTTGAAGTATACAACCAGTCGGAAAAAAGGAGATTAAGATATTTTGAAAACTATGACCAAATTTCCAATTCCCGGCATCAGCACTGTTGGAGTATTCCAAACTTTTGAAATTACAAATGTATATAAACTATTACATATCACTATGACTTTAATCAAAATGGCTATAAAATGAAATCAAATTTAATTTTGAGGGTAGTCAGTTGCCCACCCTCGCCTGAAAGTGGATCCGCCACTGTGTGTCAACTCATAACCAATCATGGAGGAAAGTCACCATTAAGTTGTGAAGTTCAATTAGCGCCCTACGAAGAAATGCTTCACACAGACTCTACACATAAACCTCTCTTGTAAAACCTTTATCATCATTATCTTGAAATGTGCAGCAGCAATAAAAATTGGCTGGACTTGTATAAAAATTCTTGGTGTGTTTTGTGTTGTTTATTCGATTCCATTTATTTGTTCTCAGTTATTTAATTTTGGTCCTCACCCAATTCCCGACAGGAAAAAAGCATTTATTCCAACAAAATACATAAGTATTAGTGAAAACAGCCATAGAAATTATTTTGAAACACCCATGGTTCTATAGGTGAGCTATATACTAGTGGGTACAATTGTCATAAATAATTACATGATCACGTATATTATCAACTAACAGGCGCAGTTCAATAATAATACCAAAAAACTGAGAACAGGTAACTGCATCTAACAAGAGCAAAAAGTGCAATGAAGGAAGAGAAATAAAACTCAGCTGGAATGAAAGTTCATCCAGAACATGTTGTTATATGAACACATGAAAGGCAAATTAAATTTGGAAAATTTCATAGTAATTTCAAAAGGACGGGGTTCACCTGCAAAGATAGAAGAAACACAAAGAAAACTAAAAGCAAATATTTTCTCACGGTAATGGGCATAAGAATCAGCAAAGATCAAACGCAGATAAAAGAGTAAAAAATAGAAACAAAAAATCTGCTCCTTATTAGTAAGAAAATAACTCCTTCGCCCTAGGTTATTCATTTTCTGTAATGATCTGCCGTTAAAAAACTACTGATCGTAGAAAAACATAAATTTCGTCACAAGAATCATGCAAGAAAACCTAGTTCTTAGCTCAATCCAAAACTGAAAAAAAAAAAAAAACGATATTTAGAAGCGGAAATAACAGGCGATTTTTCAGAAAGAACACACCTTTCCGCCGAAGAGAAAGAACTGAGCGATGCCTAGGGACGCAACTCCTCCCCATATCACCACCGTCGACGACAGCAACGACCAGCTTCTGTAGATCATAGCTTCCTTTTACCTCTTCCTGTTCTTGGCTTCGGCCTCCTTATTCCCTCTAGCGACTTCGAAACAAGAACCAGAATGTTCAACTAGCAGCTGTAAATCTGTAAATCCGGATTTATTAAAATTTTTATAGGTTAAATTTTAAAAATTATTTATTATGATGGAATATAGATAGTAAAATACTAAAATTAATTTAAAATAAGCAATTCTTAAATTATTTATTTTAATTTTATATGATTTAGATATCTCATTATATATATTTTGAAACTAATTAATTTATCATTAATATAATTAAATATGTCAACTACTGATTAATTAGTAAATCATTAAATTAATTAAATTATAAATATATTATTTAATTTAAGATAATAAAGTTCCATTTGACTAATATTAATTATTAAGATTATTTGAATTGCTTAATTTTATAAATAATCGCTTAATTATATATATATATATATATATAAACCTATGATTATTAAGCTAATAAAAATATTTTTTTATTAAGAAGGGTTATCTAGTTGGGTTCGTGTTGATCATATTTGGGTCGGATTAGACCTGAACTTGACTCGTTAATCCATTTTGACACCCCTAGTCTTTTGATTTATTTTTTTCAATATCTCGCTTAAAAAGCAATAAGAAAATTGTCCCAAATAAAATTTTAATTATTCATTGTCAAATATATTTTACATTTAAGAAATGATCTTTTACTCACATTTCAACATATCCTTCTAGAGAAAGTAGATTAGAGATTTGTCTCAAATCAGATTCACTTTTTATGGCCAATACATCCAGAGTTTTTGCCATTATGTTGGCTTCTTCCTTTAAAGAGGCTTGTCTCTAAGATTTGTTAGAGAAACACAATGTTCTTTTAGTGGACTTAACAGCTTAACTTTACTAAGCTTGAACCTGCCAACTACATTTTATATGAGAAGGTAAAAGTCTCTCATAGGTAGGAGTGTCAAAGTAAATTTTTGGGTTAGTTTCCAGTCAAATCCGAAATTGACCCGCTCTTAACACATCCGATAGAAACCCGAGCCATTTGTCCAAATGGATTAAAAATCTAAACTCAAATCCGATCCAGCACCAACCCGACCGACCCGACTCATTTACTTGTTAGCAATGTTGTAAAACCCATACCAGAGATAGAACCAGAAAGAGAGATATTCAAGGTTCAATGGTTCAAATGGGTTCAAAACGGATGACTTAATAAATATTTAAATTATTTAAATTATATTTAAATAATAATATAACTTTGAATAATTATGTAATAATATAATTTTGGGACTAAAAATTAAATAAAATTTAGATATATATATATAATATATTCCATAATTTTAAAAGTTAAATATAAATAATTATTAATTTATGTAATATATTTAAATATAAGTAATTACTAATTTTAAATTTAAATGTAAATATCTTCAATCTTCAATTTTAATTCATATTTAATAGAAAATTAGTTCATATATATGTGGTGATGGAATCATGTTGGTATGATTTGCTAGTACTTAATATATAATAATTTAAAGTTTTTGAACATTATTAGATAAAAATATGTTATATTTAAATTAATTTTTTAAAATTCATATTAAAATATTTAAATATATTTTGAATTGAACCAGTAAATTTGTTAAAATCGAGACCAGTTCGTCGGTTGAATCGGTGATTCAAACCGATTTGATGTCAGACCAGTTTTTTATGAGGATCAAACCGACCATATGACTGGCTTACAGTTTAACCAGCCAGTCCGATCTAATTTGTAAAATCATGTCTACGAGTGCTGTGAGCAGGTGAGCAAGTGCAAGGCCATAAGGCGAGATTCGATAGAGCGAGGGTGGGTTAAATATGTTATTTTTTAGTTCACGGGTTAACCCTAGCTCGACTCGATATATCAATCAGGTCAACAAAAATAAACTCGAACCTGACCCATTTGTTAGACGGGTCAACCCAAACCCTAAATTTTTAGGTCGAGATATTGTTAGTGTCATATATTGACACCCCTACACATGATGCAAATCCTTTTGACGTATATCTTAATAGCCAACTCGATTTGTCTTCTAGGAGCAAGGATTAATATAATTATCATAGTCAATACAACTAAAAAGGGTTACAAAATGGCAATATATAACATTGTAGATCTTGCTTCTTTCTTCTCTTTCTCGGCCCAAGTATAATCAATAAGATAACATCTTTATATTTTTTATATTCTCATATAATAATGGGTGATTTCTCTTGGTCCTCGCCATAATGTATAGGTTATTATCAATCTAAACCACTTAAACTTGCCTTTATTTTTCTTATTGTGGCTCTTTTAGTGCATTTGGTGAATTATCAAAGTCTAGGTAGAGCATGATGCTTGGTTCATCCTTATTTGAAGAGTTAAGAGAATTTATATTTTATTTTTTTAATATTTTATCCATATGTGTACAACTTATAAGGTCTCATTAATATATTTGGCTTTATGTTATCATCAACTTGTGCCACAAGAATCAACAAATTCATTTTAAATATAAAATATTTAAAGTGTTAGGAATTTCTTAAGAAGATTTAAATAAAATTAGTGTAAAATTATGCATTCTATGAGAATTCTTGATTTTCATATCATATCCCTTATGTCATTTCTTATATTTCATGAAGAATTAAGGTATTTCATTCGAATATAAGCATTTTGACTCACAAATAAGTATTTTCAACTACATACTAAATGTTGAATCCAAAATAAAGCACCCTAATGTTTGACTAAAATAACTTTCATATACTAATAACTAACTAAGCATATGGATTTTCATATCATATCCCTTATGTCATTTCTTATATTTCATGAAGAGTTAAGGTATTTCATTCAAATATAATAAGTTCCCTTGCGCTAGGGTTTCTCAACATCGGTCGTCTCGCTTTGGAGCGACATTGAAGATGCCTTTATTCAAGATTGATGTGGGGAGGTTCTTTGGATCATTGGAAGAAGATGATGTTTGAAGGAAGGTAATCCCAATTTAGGGAACAAAGATAAACACAAGCTTCAAAGTTTCAAAATGTCATAATATTCATCAATGATCCCCTCCTTTCAAAATCTTGCTTATATAAACTACTAAGAAGATTCTAGAAATATTTAACAAACTATAGTAAGCTAGTCATAAGGAGCATTTTTAAGAACATCCTAGAAATTAGTAACAAATTTGTAACAAACTTAAATAAACTACTCGCACTACAAGAAATTCATGAATTTCTGACGGTCTAGACCAGCGGTTATGTAACCGCCGGTATTAACGACGGTTTAACCGGATGGTTATTTAATTTACCGCCGCCAGAATTAGCGGCGGTCAAATAACCGCCGGTATTATTTCTTGCCGGTGGTTCAAACTGCCGGTGTTAAGTGAATTTTTTCCAGCGACCAGAACCGCCGGAAAGCCTCCGAAAACTACCCTAAATTTAGCCGTCCCCAGCCTTTCATTTCATTTACTCACATCCTTATCTCTCTCCCTACAGATAGTTGCCCCCGTCTCCTCCGCCCTCTCAGGATCGAGATGCTACCTCTGGCCGCTGACAAGCTCTCTCCGGCCAAAGATATCGCCCCCACTCTTGCATCAAAACACGGCCGAAGATCTCGCCCCCACTCCTGCGCGAAACCAGCGTCCGAGTCCGAACCGTAACCATAGGTTTGCATTTTTTGTTTTTTTTTTTTTTCAAGTTGTTTGTGATTTTTCATATATCAAGAGGAATTAAGTTAAAGAATTGATAGGGATTAAATGGGGTTCATATTTTTATAGCCTCTTAATCACATGAAAATTAACTTTGACCACCATTTCAGAAGGAGGCTATGCCGAAATCAAAATATAGTTTTGATTATTTTAATATGATAAATTTGATTATTGATTAGGAGATAGTTTTGATTATTTTAATAAGATAGTTTTGATTAGGAGATATTTTTGATTAGTTTTGATTATTTTAATAATATAGTTTTGATTATTTTAATATGATAGTTTTGATTACATAAATGGGGTTCATATTTTAATATGATAGTTTTGATTACATAAATGGAGTTCATATTAGGTTTTCGTAGAAAAGGTCAGACAAAGTTTTGGTTTAATTTAGGGCCTAGAAAACTAAAAAAATTAATATGAAGTCTTTAATCTTTCATTTACAATCACAGATCATATGTCCCCACACATTCCTTGATCTGATGATTGGCTACTTATTATGGTCTTTGATTCTAGGGAATTATATCCTATGCCTCGACCTATCTCTTTGATCATCATTTTGCCAAATTATCTCTTAATCTAGTTTTTAGTAACATTTGTGTAATAACCAATGTAACAAAAAAACCATTAGACATGAAAATAATAATAACTAAATGACCATATAGCCAGAGCATTAAATCCATTAACAACAGAGCATCAAAGGTTGCTGCAGCAACACAAAGCATGATTTATGAGAAACATAAACTTAGGGAATTAAGTTCATGACAATATCCATGTACTTCCTGCTGGCTATTTTTGGATCGAATGGATTTTTTAACTGTATGAGTAATAGTAGAACCATTGTTGTAGTTTGATCCAAAACGTTGTTTTAATTAAAAAAAATATTTATTTAAGTATATATAGTTTTGAAAAATATTTAATTATCTTTGGGGATATTTAATTTTAAAATTTTGAAATTGAATGCGTCATTATGAACAGTATATCACCTCGAGAGGTGATCATATCGTTCTCTAACGAGTTCGTATTTTAAAATTTTAAATTCATCCGAATTATCGTAATCAAACTCAAGGAGGAACAACATATGCTCTCGTAAGATCAAAATGACGTTCAATCAATTGTTTAACTATAATAATTCGGATAAGAGATCGTTAATTTCATAATCAAAATAACGATAATAAAATAATATATCTTCCCAAAGAAAGATGATATTATCTATTATCGATTATTTTAATATGACGATAACGATCGCCATTTTTGTTTGAATTCCCAAAGATAATTAATTGAAGGTTTTTTGAAAAATTAATTTTTGAACATTAGATCTGGGTTTCTAAATCTCCTACGAGCGCAAGCCCTCGTAGTTAATTACATCGTAGGAAATAGAAGTTTCCTATGAAAACTCTCGATTAAAATAGC